TAGACAATAAATTAAAAGTAAAGGAAACAATTTTATAGCAGTTACAGAAAATAGATAACAGAAATAATTTTGATGACAGTGTTTGATAATGCATTTTAAAATTTTTAAAAATATATTGAAAATAATGTCATCAAAAAATTAAAGTTATTGGGTCTCTGATACTTACATATACGATAATGTTTTAATCGTTTATGAAATTTAGTCTGAAATATGCTTATGCTTATAATTATAAAGCTTAGAATCCAATTTTACCATTTGTCTACAAAACTATAGAACCGACTTCTTCACAATTGTCTATGTGTAACCTTCGATTAAAAAAAATCGGTTTCATAAATATTACGTCATTACTGAAAAATACGCATGAATGGGTTTACGGAATTTATTGTTCTTCATACATGAGGTAAATGTTATTCAAGAACTTCAGACATTTTTTTAACTAAATTTCTGTCATTCGAATCAAATTTAGAGAGTAAATAAATGTGTTCCGAATTTTGAAAACATCTTCCAGGACTTTCGACTTTTTTTGTGTCATCCAAGGATCACTGATACGGGAGGACGCAAAATTTATCTACCTACCTATCTGCCTACTTACCTGTCTACCTGCCCATCTGCCTAATCTACCTAGTCTGACCAGTCAATCTCGCCTAACCAGTCTATCTAGTCAATCTGATCTATTTGATCTGTCACATCTATCTTCTGTCGTTTGATATATTTTATCTTTTGATCTATCTTACCTATCGTCTGATCTGTCTGATCAATCTTCTGATCTATCTCATTTATCTTCCAATATATCTTCCAATATATCCTATCTATCTTTTGAAGTTTCTAATGTTTCTTCTGATCTATCTGCTGATTTATCTCATCTATCTTCTGGTCTGTCAAGTCTAGGTTCAAGAAAAATATTTAAAACATTCTTTATGTCAATTTGACGTTCACTTACAAAAACAAAATATCCAAGTAGATAAATAGATCAAAAAACGTGAAAATTTAGCCACTGTCATCACATTAAAAAAAAAAATGTAATGTTACAAAATGGCGAAATCAATGGATAAAGACGAGATGGCCCCAAAATTATTTTGAATAAGTAAGGTTCAATTGATTTCAGATACCCAACATAAAGTAGTAAATTAAAATATGGCGAAATTTCGAAAAAGAAAACTTCTACATATTTCGACAAAAGGATTTTTTAAATTATTTTTTTCTCTGCTCCATAAATGATCCTGAATAAAGTGTCAAATTGTTTTTGTCTTATCTGTTTTCTGATTTTTCTTCTGATATATCCGCTGCATCTTGTGATCTATCCAATCTATCTTCTGATTATCTAATCATTCTTATATATCTGATATATCTCATCAATCTTTTGATATATCTGATCCGATCTATCTCATCTATGTTCCGATTTATCCGATCCACCTTTTGCTGTTTCTGATTTTTCTTCTGATCGATCTAATGATCTGCTGATCTCTCTCATCTACCTTATGGTCTATCTGATTATCTGCTGATCTATCTAATCTATCTCATATAACGTTTGATCTATCCTACCTTTCTTCTGATTTATCTGATCTATGTCGTCTATCTTCTGATCCCTCGCATCTACAAAGTGTTAAAAAAATGGCACACCAACTCAACGATACATGATTAAATTCACAAGTCTAAGTTGAAAAAAAATCATTAAAAAATTCTTTCGTCAATCTGACGTTCACTTACAAAAACAAAATATCGAAGTAGATAAATAGATCAAAAACCGTGAAAACTTAGCCACTGTCATCAAATTCATCCTAAATAATTTTTGAGTTTTTTGTAATGTTATAAAATGGCGAAATCAATTGATAAAGACGAGATTCTTCCAAAATTATTTTGAATAATTAAAGTTCAATCGATTTCAGATACCCAACATAAAGTAGTGAGATAAAATATAGTAAAATTTCGAAAAAAAAAACTTTGAAGAGCTGTATCTTGTACATATATATTTGGACATAAAGATTTTTTAAATTATTTTTTTGTCTGTTCCATAAATGATCCAGAGCAAAATGTCAGATTTTTTGAACACCCTGTATCTGTCTGTCTTATCTGTCTTCTGATCTACCTTATCTATCTTCTGATATATCCGCTCTGTCTTGTGACCTATCCAATCTATCTTCTGATTATCTAATCTTTCTTCTGATCTATCTGATAAATTTTATACATCAGATATACGAGTATGTCCTCAATCTTCTGATCTACCTGGTCTGTGTGATCTATCTGGTCCGATCTATCTCAACTATGTTCCTATCTATCCGATCTATCTTTTTATCTTCTGATCTACCTAATCTGTCTCATATAACGTCTGATCGATCTTACCTTTCTTCTGATTTAACTGATCTATCTCTGGCACACCACTCAACGATACATGCTTGAATTCACAAGTCCAAGTTCAAGAAAAATAATTAAAAAATTCTTTCGTCAATTTGAGGTTCACTTACAAAAACAAAATATCGAAGTAGATAAATAGATCAAAAAACGTGAAAACTTAGTCACTGTCGTCAGATTCATCCTAAATATTTTTTTAGATTTTTGTAAATAAAATGGCGAAATCAATGGATAAAGACGAAATGCCTCCAAAATTATTTTGAATAATTAAAGTTCAATCGATTCCAGATGCCCAACATAAAGTAGTGAATTAAAATATCGTGAAATTTCGAAAAAAAAAATTTGAAGGGCTATATCTTCTACATATTTGGACAAGAGGATTTTTTAAATTATTTTTTTCTCTGCTCCATAAATGATCCTGAATAAAGTGTCAGATTTTTTTTTGTCTTATCTGTTTTCTGATCTATCTTCTGATATATCCGCTGTATCTTGTGATCTATCCTATCTATCTTCTGAGTTTCTAGTCTTTCTTCTGATCCATCTTCTAATCTATCATATCTATATTCTAATCTATCTGATCATTCTTATATATCTAATATATCTCATCAATCTTCTGATCTATCTGGTCTATGTGATCTATCTGATCCGAATCTATCTCATCTATCTTCTGATCTATCCGATCTATCTTTTGAACTTTCTGATTATTATCTTCTGATCTATCTAATCTATCTCATATAACGTCTGATCTATATCACCTTTCTTCTGATTTATCTGATCTATCTCGTCTATCTTCTGATCTCTCGCATATACAGGGTGTTCAAAAAATGGCACACCAACTCAACGATAAATGATTAAATTAATAAGTCTAAGTTCAAGAAAAATAATTGAAAAATTATTTGCCAATTTGACGTTCACTTGCAAAAACAAAATATCGACATAGATCAAAAAACGTTAAAATTTAGCCACTATTGTCAAATTCACCCTACATAATTTATGAATTTTTTGTAATGTTATAAAATGGCTAAATTAATGGATAAAGACGAGATCCCTCCAAATTATTTTGAATAATTAAAGTTCAATCGATTCCAGATTCCCAACACAAAGTACATAGTGATTTAAAATATGGTGAAATTTCGAAAATAATTCATCTTGTTCTTTAGACATATTATACGATCTTCCACTACCACAGTTCATCCTATTTTCCAAAAAAATTGATAATACAGTACTATTATTGTTATCATTACACTGCATCTATTCAAATTGATGTAAGTATCCTTAAAGTGTTGATGACGTCATAACAATTTTTTTTATGGAAAACTCACTTGAAACATACGCATAACATGCTTTTCTACGTGTAGTTTAATAGTCCACACATTGTTTAATTTTAACTTATTATCATTTAAAAAAATACATTTTATAATTTTTCGAAGAAACGAAGGCGAGAAAAGTACTATCTAAATAACCTTACACCAATTTTTTTATTTATTAAAAATCTAAAATTTTTAAATACGTAAATATTTGATGATATTAAATATTTTGTCGTTTATTTTGTTGTATATTCGGTGTTTCAAAAATGGCGGACTAACTCTATAATACATGATATCTTATTAAATTCACAAGTCTAAATTCGAGAAAAATTATTAAAACATTTGTTACGTCAATTTCATGTTAATTTACAAAGACAATATGGGGTGCAAAATTAGCCACTGCTGTCTAATTCATTCTGAACAATTTAAATTTTTTTGTATTATTCTAAAATGAAAACTATGGGGAAAAGTATGATATTTCCGAAATTATTTCGAATAACGAAAGTTCTATCACAACACAAATAGTGTTAAATTATGTTAATAATTAAAAATTGGGGGCCTATGGCTTCTACATTTAGACCCAAGCATTTTAAAATTTTTTTTTTCTTTGCGCAGTAAACAATCCTTGACAACGTGTCATCGAGTGCGCCATGTTTAAATCAGAATATATTCTTCTAAAATCAATGTTGCCAATGATGCACTATCATAAGTAGCCTTTTCTACATTCTTATATTTTCAACCAATATTACATCTTAAATTAGATATAAAATTTTATACGGACGGTACGTCTGCCTTTTTATTCACCACTTTTATCTAGTAACGTGTAATAAGAAGAACAAAGTCAGCGCATTCACTTTAGAAGTGTCTGATTACGCAATCTTAGTTCCTCTTAGCCCCCATAAAATTTTCTTTTAGCGCCGCCACTGTATAAAATTAATTAAGCAACAAATCACTTTTTACCGTTTAGTTATTAAAGATAAAACATTTTACTTTCACGATCAGATGTAAAAGTATTGTTTTAGCAAAAAAAGGAAACAAACAAATAAATAAAATAAAATAAACCGACTGTTGTTGAATGAAACCCAGTCTAATTGAAAGGTTATAGTTCGCTAGGCAACCAGTAATACAATTCCATTAACATTTTTTAAATGTCAATCAAATCGCATTGTTTTATTGATGAAATAAACATCCCTCTTCATGTGATAAACTATTACTTTCCTCGTAATCTCTGTAATCGTTAATTGTACACACAACGGTTATCAAAAATAGCAAATTTCTTGGAATTCGCTCCGCGGATGTTTGCATAATATACAGAGGCGTACTTACAACACTCCCAAGGTCGAACTCGCACATAAAACTATTTTTGACAGATGTCATTTATAATATTTGTGTAGCGTTCAATTATGCAAGCAATTTAAGTTTATTGTTATTTATGAGCTGAAATGATTGTGAATGTAACGTGAGATACGACAATAAGTGCCCTCCACACCGATTATAATGTGAATTCGACGTACTCAGAAGGAATCCATACTTGATGAAGGCCGGTTTATTTGGAAAAGCACGAAGAGTTTATGTTAGTGGTTTCCAACCATGCCCGTTCCCCCGATTCCCACAGTCATCGAGCCTGACGCAGGTACACTTTTGAATCATTACCAAAACAAAGTTAAGTCATCAGTAAATAAAACCACTTTTTGTGTTTAACCAGAATGTCGAAGTGTCACAGACAGTGTCGGCTCGCATTCGGACATATCGGGGCACACGCTGCAAGCGCCTAACTCCATCATGACCAGGCCCCACATGGACGTCGTCTGTGTCATAGACATCTGCCAGTCGGGAAACCTGCCCCATCGGAAGAAGGCCTTGGACGAGGTGAATCAAGCGTGTCTTCAGGTCGGCGCCACCCTCAACCACATTCAGGTGAGTTCAATTTCTCCGCGACTTGCACTAACGACTGCGATTTCAGTTCGAGAAGTTGGATTTCGGAGAAGCCAACGTCGTTAGCAGCTTTTACAATGCAGACATGGTGATTGTCGATGTGTCGTTGGCGGTGCAGAAGAGCACGCTGTCTTACCACCTAGGGGTGAGGGAAAGCTTCAACATGAAACACAACATCTTGATTTACAACGACAGAGACGCGGAAGTGACTGAACGACTAAAAGTGAGGTTATGTCGTTACCATGAATTCTTAATAATTTTGTATTTATAGTGCTCTACTCAGTATCCATGCATTTCCTATATTTTACTCGATGACGGCGGATGTGTCACCACAGGAAGATCGAGCGATAGCGGAGAACTTTTAAATCAAAGATTGAAACGATTATTACAAGATGTGGAGATCCAAAGCAAGTAAGTTTTGTAAAAATCGCGATCGTTGTTGCAGGTGATGTTTCAGAGCACACATGAAGGAGAAATTTCTATCCGACTTGAAAAAACTCAAGGAACAAAAAAACGGCGATGAACTTCAAAAGTCTTTGTATAATATCAGGAAACGTTTAGATGATCCTAATGTTCTCTCAGGGGAGGTTGTTTTAAATATGTTGTTTTGCTTTCGTGACATACAAGATTATAACGCCATGGTTCACCTTGTGGATGATTTAAAAACACTTCCAACAACAAAGAAATATGTAAATTCGTATATTCTGTATTTGTACGCTTTCGCTTTAAATAGGAGGAAGCAAGCTGGAGATAGGGAAAGAGCTTTAAATGTTTGCATTGAGGCGCTGAAAAAGGTGTGTTGGTGCAGTCATGTGGTTTTAGCATTGTTGTTTTTTTGTCTTTTATTTTTAGAGAGAAAATCACTTTCCGGATATGATATGTTTGTGTGGCAGAATTTACAAAGATAAATTTACCGAGTCGGATCATAAGGATCAAATTAGTTTAGATCAAGCTATTTACTGGTATAGAAAAGGTTTTGAGGTGCAGCCTAATGAATATGCAGGTAAGATTTGTGTAAATATTTTAAATTTTCTTTGTGTATGAATGGGAAAGGCGTAACGTGTGTAGGAGCGCCCCCACGTTAATTTTTCAAGGGTGTTTGTGTTTTAATTACACTGGTTTGGATTGAACAACGCCCCAGCAAAAGTTAAAAGTAATCAATTTATTTGTTTACATGCGGTTGTTGAGGTTTTGGACTGTAGAGGGCTCTGTACTCAATGGAGTACTTAATACCATATGATCGGAAAAACCTCTAGTAGGCCGTGCAACTGTCAAACTGAACAAGGCATGCGTTGGTGTTGCCAACATAATTAAAAAAAAAAATGGTCTCAAGTTATTTAGACACATCTAGTTTTTTCGAAAAATTATAAATTTTTATTTTATGATAACCCTTATAGGTTTAAAACATATAGATAATGTCAGTCACAGTGTAAAAAATTGGTCGAAAGTTATTTCGACAGAACTTCCCTTGACCCTGAAGTGCAGCCGAACAAATCTCGGTTCTATAAAAAATTAAAAAAAATCAGCGGCATAAATAACACTCCCGGTAAAAATTGTTTTTCTAAAAACTGAAAAATCGAAAAATAATTTTTTTTTTAAATCAATAGATCGAGCAAACGAAACATCAAACAAAATAAAAAATCCGAAATTAAAAAATTGAAAAATTAAAATTTCAATCAATTGAATAAAACTCCCAAAATTGAAATGTTGAAAAATTGATAAATCGAAAATTCGAAAAATTGAAGTATTAAAAACTAAAAATAGGAAAATCGAAACATTAAAAAATCGTAAAATCGGAAAATTGAAAAATTGAAGAATTGAAAAACTGAAAAATAGAGAAATGGGAAAATCGAAACATCTAAAAGTCAAAAAAATAATCGATTAATCGAAAAAACGAAAATTTAGAAACGCCAAAAATTGAAAATTGAAAAATTTTTAAAATCCCACAATTGAAGTATCGAAAAATTAAAGGTTGAGTAATCAAAAAGTCGAAAAATTGAAAATTGTATAAATCGAAAAACTGAAAAATGGAGACATCAAAAAATGTAAACACCGAAATCTCCATAAATTGAGAAATAAAAAAAATTAAAACTTGAAAAATCGAAACATCAAAAATTTTAAAAATCGAAAATTTAGAAACGTCAAAAATTAAAAAAATTGAAAATCGAAAAATATGGCAAATCCCAAAACAGAAATATCGAAAAATGAAAGAAACGAAAAATTGAAAATCGAGGAATCGAAAAATCGAAAAAATGAGAAGTCGAAAATTCGAAAAATTGAAATATGTATTAAAAACTAAAAACAGGGAAATCGAAACATTAAAAAGTTGGAAAATTGAAAAATTGAAAGATCGAAAAACTGAAAAATGGAGAAATTAAGAAATCGAATCGAAAAATCCAGAAATCAAAAAATTTAAATTTCGAAAAATCAAAAATTTTTAAAATCGCTCGATCGAGAAATGGCAAATTCTAAAATTTAAGAAATGGGAAAGTCAAAAATCCAAAAATTGAAAAATTGAAAATCCGAGAATTTTAAAAATCCCAAAATTGAAGTATCGAAAAATTAAAGATCGAGTAATCAAAAAGTCTAAAAATTGAAAATTTTATAAATCAAAAAATTGAAGGTTCGAAAAACTGAAAAATGAAGAAAAAAAATCTAACACCGAAATCTCCGTAAATTTTAAACTTGAGAAATCGAAACATCAAAAATTTTAAAAATCGAAAGATCGAGAAATCACAAAATCGGAGATTAGAAAATTTAAATCGGAAAGTCAAAAAACCAAAAAATTGAAGAATTGAAAAACTGAAAAATCGAGAAATGGGAAAATTCAAAACTCACAAAATCGATTAATCGAGAAAACGAAAATTGAAAAATTGAAAATCGAAAAATTTGGAAAATCCCAAAATTGAAGTATCAAAATAGGAAAGAAACGAAAAATTGAAAGTCGAGGAATCGAAAAATGAGAAATCAGATGTTGAAAAATTGAGAAGTCGAAAATTCGAAAAATTGAAATATTAAAAACCAAAAACAGGGACATCCAAACATTGAAAAATCGAAAAATGTAAAAATTTAAAAAACCAAAAAATTGAAAGATCGGAAAACTGAAAATTGGAGAAATCGAAAAATTGAAAAACCGAGAAGTCAAAAGGTCGAGAAATCGAATCATCAGAAAATTGAAAAATTTAAAAATTTTAAAAATAGAAAAATCGGAGAATTGACAAATCGAGGAATTACCAATTCTAAAATTTAAAAAATCGAGAAATCGAAAACGTCGACATGACCATGAAAACATCGAAAAGTTGAAAAATTGAGAAATGGGAAAATCGAAACATCGAAAAGTCGAAAAAATTGAAAAGTCAAAAAATCGATTAAGCAAAAATTTTGAAACGCCAAAAATTGAAAAATAGAAATTCGAAAAATTTGTAAAATCCCAAAATTGAAGTATCGAAAAATGAAGGAAACGACGAAAAATTGAAGATCAAGTAATCGAAAAGTCGAAAAATCCAAAATTTTAAAAATAGAAAAGTCAAAAACCTGAAAAATCGAAAAATTGAAAAATTAAAAAACTTGAAAATCGAGAAATCGAGACATCGAGCAATGGAAACGTTGAACTGTCGCAAAATTGAGAATTGGGAAATTTAAAACACACATCTAAAAGTCGAAAAGTAAAAAAAAAAAACGAAAAAGCGAAAATTTAGAAACGCCAAAAATTGAAAATTGAAAAATTGGGAAAATTCCAAAAATGAAGGAAACGAAAATTGAAAATCGAGAAATTGAAAAATTGAAAACTCGAAAAATCGAATCAAAAAAAAGAGAAATCGGAAGTTGAAAGATCGAGAAATCGAATATTCGAAAAATTGCAATATTAAAAACTAAAAATAGAGAAATGGAAGCATTAAAAAACCATAAAATCTAAAAATTTAAAAAGTCGAAAAACTAAAAAATGGGGAATTAAAAAACCGAATCGAAACATCGGGAATTTGAATCATCGAAAAATCGAATCATCAAAAAATTTAAAAATTTGAAAAATAGAAAAATCGAAAAGTCAAAAACCCGAAAAATTGAATTGAAAAACTGAAAAATCGAGATATCGAGCAATGAAAACATCGAAAAGTCAAAAAAATCATCGCTTAATCGAAAAAGCGAAAACTTAGAAACGCCAAAAATTGAAAAATTGAAAATCGAGAAATTTGAAAAATCCCAAAATTAGAGTATCGAAAAATGGAGGAAACGAAAAATTAAAGATCGAGTAACCGAAAACTCGAAAAATCAAAAAATTGAAGAATTGAAAAACTTGAAAATCGAGAAATCGAGACGTCGAGCAATGGAAACGTTGAACTGTAGTAAAATTGAGGATTGGGAAAATCGAAACACACATTTAAAAGTCGAAAAGTCAAAAAAATCGAAAAAACGAAAATTTAGAATTGCCAAAAATTAAAAAATTTGAAAAATCCCAAAATTGAAGTGTCGAAAAATGAAGGAAACGAAAAATTGGAAAAATACGTCGAAAAATCGAAAGATAGAGAAATCCAATCAAAAAACTGAAAAATCGAAGAACTAAAAAATCGCTAAATCATAAAATCTAAAATTTAAAAAACTGAGAAATCGTGACGTCGAACAATGAAAGCTTCGAAAAGTGGAAAAAATAAAAAAATCAAAAAGTCGGAAACATCCATTAATCGAAAAATCGAAAATATAGAAACGCCACAAATTGAAAATCTAAAAATTTGAAAAATCCTAAAATTAAAGTATCGAAAAATGAAGGAAACGAAGATTTAAAAATCGAAAAATTGAAGAATTGGAAAATTTGAAAATCCAGACGTCGACCAATGGAAACGTTGAACCACAGAACACCTAACTTAGCGTTGAACTGTCGAAAAATTGAGGATTGGGAAATTCGAAACACACATTTAAAAGTCGAAAAGTCAAAAAAATGAAAAAACGAAACTTTTTGAAACACCAAAACCTGAAAAATTGGAAAATGAAAAATTTTTAAAATCCCAAAATTGAAGATCGAGTAATTGAAAAGTCGGAAAATCGAAAAATTGAAACGTCAAAAACCTGAAAAATCCAATCTAATCTAAAAGTATAAAAGTCAAAAAATTGGAAAAGCAAAAATTTTGAAACGCCAAAAATTGAAAGATTTGAAAAAACCTAAAATTGAAGTATCGAAAAGTGATGGAGACGAAAAATTGAAAATAAAAAAATTGAATCAAATAGTAACTGAAATACCGAAAAACGGAGACATCGGAACTTGAAAAATCGAAAATTCGAATAATAATAATTATTACACAAGTTTAATTTTTTTCCAAAAATCAGGATGGTAAAAATTCAACACAGATTCATAAACAACAAATGAAAGAGTACCTTATTTTATAACCTTTAAATAACATTTACTATTGTAAAATTTGGAGGTGACGTCATTCTATTGTTGCTGTGGATGATCAGACAAATTTTGGTTAGCGTTTTACAAGATATTCCTAACATACATACAAAATTTGACAATAATCGGTTCAGTAATTTCGGATATTATCTGTTTTAACAAAAATCGATACAGACCGAGGACTCTATAGGTCATGAAGCGTCGAGAAAACATGAAAATAGTCTGTCGCCCGATGGACTCGATTACAATACTTCCTTAGCTTACGCTCAGGAAGTAATAAATTGCACATCGATCACATGGTATTTAAATTATAACGATCGCAGACAAAATTTAGTGACAAAGTGGATTGGCAACAATAAACTTAATTTTTTTCAAAATTTTCATTGAAGTCTCAAAATTGACTTATTCACATCCAGAGAACCATCTAGAGCGACCGTTGTTTTAATATCGTTGCAAATTTCATTGATTTTAAATTTTTTCTTTCATAGGAATAAACCTAGCAACATTACTAGTAATCGGTGGCGCCGACATCAACGGAAACGAAGAACTCCAACGCATAGGCATGGTCCTAAACAATCTAATAGGCAAAAAAGGAAGCTTAGCCTCCCTCCAAGACTACTGGGACGTAGCCACCTTCTTCGAAATCTCGGTACTCTTCCAGCACTACTCCAACGCAGTCCAAGCAGCTGAATGCATGTTCAAACTGAAACCACCAGACTGGTATCTAAAATCCACAATCGGCAACATCCAACTAATCGACAAATTTCGCAAAAAACGCGACGAAGAGGGCCCTCCTGAAGAAAAAATCTTCCACTTCTGGATGGAGTTCTTCATAGAAGCCACCAAACCGCCGCCCGAAGATAGCTTTCGTTTCCCGGCACTGATCCTCGAACCGAGCAAAGAGTTCATGCCGAGCTACGTCTGCGTGAACCTGGGGGCCGATCCGCAAACACTACAAGTGAGTAGAGGTGTCTGATGGTGAATTTGACGAAACCGGTTGACTTGCAGGTGACGAATCTCTGCGTGAAAAGCCTGAAAAACAACTGCACCCAAATCCACAATTGGGAATTCACTGCCAATAATATTCGTAGCGTGAGTTTTTACAAGCGCGACGAACGTTGCCTGTTCCTATACGTCCACCACAACTCCGACGACTTCCAAATTTTCTTTCCTTCGGAAAGTTGCAGAGAGTGCTTCTATAAGTTGATTTTGGAGTTGACTGATCATCAAGAGGGCTTGGTGGAGTCGGAGCCGCCTCGCGATATTAGATACGAGTACGAACGGGACGAACAGGGTAAACGTATAGTTTTAGGTAGAGGCACCTACGGTGTCGTCTATGCCGCTCGAGATTTAAACACACAAGTGAGAATCGCTGTTAAAGAAGTACCTGAGAAAAATCTAGGGGCCGTACAACCACTACACGAGGAAATAAGACTACACTCTCAATTGAGACACAGAAATATAGTTCAATATTTAGGATCATTATCCGAAGACAACTATTTTAAAATATTCATGGAACAAGTACCTGGAGGATCTTTGAGTGCCTTGCTTCGCTCAAAATGGGGGCCTTTGAAATCCAACGAACACACGATGGTGCATTACACCCGTCAGATTCTTGAAGGACTCAAGTACCTTCACGATCAAAAAATCGTTCATCGCGATATTAAAGGTGACAATGTTCTCGTCAACACGTACAGTGGCGTTGTGAAGATTTCGGATTTTGGAACGTCGAAGAGGCTGGCGGGGTTATGTCCGAGCACTGAAACATTTGCCGGGACTCTTCAGTACATGGCGCCTGAGGTTATAGACAAGGGGCAGAGAGGGTACGGTGCTCCTGCTGATATTTGGTCGCTTGGGTGCACTATTGTGGAAATGGCCACAGGCAAACCCCCATTTATCGAGTTAGGGTCGCCCCAAGCAGCCGTTTTTAAAGTAGGGTACTATAAAGCACACCCTCAAGTTCCTGAAGAATTGTCTGACAGGGCTAAGCACTTCATATTGCGGTGTTTTGAACCAGATCCGGATAAAAGGGCTTCCGCTGCGCAACTGCTGGAAGATCCCTTCATAGGTAAGATTTTTGTCTAAAAAGTAGACACTTCAATTGCGTTTAAATTTTTTGTTCCTAAATGTCATTGCATCAGTCTTGACACTTGAGCCGTAAAAGTCACTAGATCTTTTTGTCGCATTTTAGGACAACTTATTAAATATTTCGTGAATTATCTGCATTAAAGTTGTATTGTAAAATACATGTTTTAGGCACAAGTTTAACTTATCTAATAATAATCAGACATTTTTGATGTAAATGCCACTGTACCAACCCAAAACAAAAAAAAGCACCATAATTTAAAAAAATGCCTGCCTTATGAATTCACAAGATCGATTTATAAACTTCCCGTTGACGTTGTCGTTGAAAGTTCGCACACCGTTGAGGTGACGTTCGAGATGACCAACTTTTAACTTTCGCCCTTAGTTGCCGTTGACGTTGGGTTTTCAACCAATCAAATTGCGGTGGTGTGAAGTGCTGCCAACTTGAAGGAAAATACCCTGAAGAAAGGGGGACATTTTTCTGATTGACATTACTAATTTCACCAAAATGAAATTTTGATAGAAACAGAGACTTTGGGATAGAAATAATGAGGTCCACTAATATTAAGCCAATTAATGACTTGTTGACCTAAACCCTCATATTTTAAATAGCTGCCATCATTTTCTACACTGTGGTTTTCTGTCAATACTTATGCATTGTTAAAGATTCAGATTAGGTGTTATAACTACAAGGGTTTACATTGTGAGAAGAAGGGTAAAACATGTTTAAAATGGTGAATTTTTGTAGGAAAGTATCAATTTTACAATTAGACTCCGCCCCTTGGTCTGACAACGAATGAAAAATTCATCACGATTGAGATCGAGACGGATGGGTGGGGCTTCTCTTCTGATTTTCTTTTTTAATTAATCCTACATTTAGTTTTCTTTGTATAACACGATTACTTAAGAACGTATTTCATACAGTAATTTCTCGCAGAAAACAAGGATTTTACAATTAAGCTCCGCCCCTCCGCTTACGACGAATAAAAAGAATCATCAGAATTGAGATAGGGCGGGTGGGCGGGGCTTATATTTTACCTTTTTTTTTTCTTAATATACATAGCCATCTTTTCACAACAAGAAACTTAGAACCTGCTTAAAGTGGTACATTTTTGCAAGAAAATATGGATTTTGCAATTATGGGGCGGAGCTTAATTGCCAAATCGATATTTCGTTACACAAATTTTCCATTTTGAACATATTTTAAGTTTCATGTTGTGAAAAGAAGTCTACACATATTCAAATAAAAAGGCAAAATATAAGCCCACCCACCCGCCCTATCTCAATTGTAAAGATTTTTTTTATTCGCCTTGAATCAAGGGGGTCTGGAGCTTAATTGCAAAATACTCATTTCTTTATAAAAAATTATAAACTTGTTTATGAGTACCGTGTAGTTCAGAGAGAATACTATGTACAATAAGAAAAAAAAGGCAAAATATAAACCCCGCCCACCCGCCCTATCCCAATTGTAATGATTTTTTTTTTGTTCTTAGAAACTTAAAACACGTTTAAAATGCTAGATTTTTGTAAGGAAATATGGATTTTTCACTTTGGCTCCGCCCCTAGGTCTGCCAACAAATGAAAACTTCATTATTATTTAGATAAAGGCATATATGGGTGGAGCTTAAACTTTGGCTTTAATTTTTTCTTAATATACATGGTATTTTTTTAATAACACGATACTCAAAAACATGACTTACACAGTAATTTCTTGTAGAGAAAAAATAAGGATTTTGCAATTAAATTTCGCTCTTTTGGCTCTCGACGATTAAAAAAAAAATCATCACAATTGAGATAGGGCGGGTGGGTGAGGCTTATATTTTGGCTTTTTTTTTTTTTTTTTCTTAATGTACGTAGCCATCTTTTCACAACAAGAAACTTAGAAGATGGTTAAAATGGTACATTTTGCAAAGAAATATGGATTTGGCAATTATGGGGCGCAGCCTAATTGAAAAATCGAAATTTCCTTATACAAATTTTCCATTTTACACATGTTTTAAGTTTCTTGTTCTGAAAAGACGACTACGTATATCAAGAAAACATATATAAGCCCCGCCCACCCACCCTGTCTCAATTGTGATGATTTTTTCATTCGCCGTGAAGCAAAGAGGCGGAGCTTAACTGCAAAATACTTCTTTTTTTACAAGAAATTAAAAACTTGTTTTTGAGTATCGTGTTGTTCAAAGAATACTTTCTATATTAAGAAAAAAAGGCAAAATATATACCCCGCCCACCCACCCTATCGCAATTGTGATGATTTTTTTTATTCGTCGTGAGCCAAGGAGCTTAACTGCAAAATACTTATTTCTTTACAAGAAATTAAAAACATGGTTATGAGTATCGTGTTGTTCAAAGAATACTATGTATAAATAAATAAAAAGGACGTATGTAAACCCCGCCCACCCACCCCATCTCAATTGTGATGTTTTTTTTTATTCTTAGAAACTTAAAACACGTTTAAAATGGTAAATTTTTGTACAGAAATATGGATTTTGCAGTTAGGCTCCGCCCCTAGGTCTGCCAACGAATGAAAACTTCATTATTATTTAGTTCAAGGCAGGCATGGGTGGGGTTTAATTTTTGGCTTTAATTTTTTCTTAATATAGATAGTATTTTTTGAACAACGACGAATAAAAAAAACTTCACTATTGAGATAGGGTGGGTGGGCGGGGGAAAAGTCAAAAATCGAAAAATCGAAGAATTGAAAAACTGAAATAGGAATATTGAAAAATCGAGACGTCGAGCTAATTAAAATTCAAAATGTCGAAAAATTGAGAAATGGAAAAATCAAAACATTAGAAATGCCTAAAATTGAAAAATTGAAAATCGAAAATTTTGGAAAACTCAGAAATTGAAGTATCGAAAAATCAAGGAAACGAAAAATTAAAGATTGAGTAATCGAAAAATTTGAAAATCGAGACGTCGAGTAATAGAAACGTTGAACTGTCGAAAAATTTAGGATTGAAAAAATCGAAACACACATCTAAAAGTCGAAAAATCAAAAAGATGGATAAAGCGAAAATTTGGAAACGCCAAAAATTGAAAATCGAAAGATTTGAAAAATCCCAAAATTGAAGTATCGAAAAATGAAGAAAACGGAAAATTGAAAATCGAGAAATTGAATCAGATATGCACTGAAATACCGAAAAATCGAGAAATCTGAAATTTGAAAAATTCGAAATACATATTAAAAACTAAAAAGAGGGAAACCGAATCATTAAAAAATCGAAATATTGAAAAATCGAAAAATGTAAAAATTTAAAAAACCGGAAAATTTAAGCATCGAAAGAAGTGAAACATGGTGAAAGAAAAAAATCGATTCGAAAAATCGTGAATTTGAACAATCAAAAAATCGAAAATACCGAAATTTTGATAAATCCAGAAATCGAAAAATTGAAAAACCTATAAATCTAAAACCGAGAAATCGAAAAATCGAAAGATCGAGAAATCAGATCAACAAAAAATTTAAAAATCGTAAAATCTGAAATTTAACAGATCGAAAAGTCAAAAACCCGAAAAATTGAAGAATTGAAAAACTGAGAAATCGAGACGTCAAGCAATGAAAACATCTAGACAAATATGGATCTTGCAATTAAGCCCCGCCCCTCGATGTAACAACTAATGAAAAATTCATCACAACTGAGAATTGAGATCGGGGCGGGTATGGGTGGGGCCTAATCTTTGGCTATATTTCTTTCTTAATATACCTAGTATTCTTTGATGATACTCAAAAACATGTTTTTAATTTCTCGTAGAGAAATAAGGATTTTGCAGTTAAGCTCCACCTTCTTGCTTCACGACGAATAAAAAAAATCATCACAATTGAGACAGGGCGGGGGGGCGGGGCTACATGTTGCCTTTTTTTCTTAATAAGTGTAGACTTATTTCGTCAACAAGAAACTTAAAACGGCAAAAGTTGAACATCAAAGTTACTATCAATGGCAACTTAGCAACGGAGTTTGTAAATATCAGCCGGAACTGCAACTGCAACGGGAATTTAAACATCAACAGCAAGTTTATAAATCCCACTAAAGTTTTACTTTTGGATTTTATGTAAATACTTGGGAATTTTCGCGATCAATAATCCTTTTGAACTCGAAGATTAAAATGATTAAAATAACGTAATGAATGTGGTGGAAGTGGTTTTCATCTTACGGTGGTAATGAAAACTGAAGAAAAAATAATAGTAAAAACAAATTCCCGGAATAGCTTGTTTAGGCTTAAAAAGCCCCTCCTGGTTTTATTGACAATGTTAATCTTATCTCGGCATATGACAAAATCAAAAAATAGTAGCTGTATTTTTATTTCTTATCTGTGTACATTGGTTAAAAATGTACCATTTATTTAAAATTTACGGTGTTGTAAACATTTGTCGAACATAAACGTCACGTGTTACTTCTTGTAGGTTAGGTGCTAATGTTTACATTTCCAAGGTTATGTTTTTTGAAGATGTTTTTACAAAATTTTCGGTCAACATGGGCAGAGTGTTCCAATTTTTGTCTCGGACAGGTGACGCATTTGGATTAAATTCTTAATCACCGGAGTAGTTTTAATATTTTATCACATGTGACTTTTCCATCACATCTTGACGCTCTATCTTGTTTGTTTAGGTTCTGAGAGAAAGAAAAGCGTCCGGTTAAACACCGAGTTCAACCGTAGCGTGTCAGTGCCCGTCGACAAAGTAATTCCCAGACTTCCAGGCTGCAGTGCACCTAATCAGACACCGACAACACCAGAGTCTGAGTGAGTATTGATAAGTCAATGGTGGCATGCATGCTTCCTAATCATAGTTACAGGATGTCGGCAAAAACCAAGATAAAAACTTAACCTTGGCGTAATAAAGTTTGTTTTGTTTTGTGTGATTGTGACAGTGTGAAGATGATAGTTTCAAATTTTCTCATTATAAACACAGATGATTGGTACTTTAAGTACTCATGGTAATGTCTTCTTGTATTTGAAACTATGTATTTTATTTTTGTTGCGAGGTTAAGTAATATTTCTGTTTAACACATATGTTAACTGTAAAGTTTGCTTTGTGCTTGTGGTGGTAATTGTAATTGACTTGCAGCTCCCAAAGCAGAGGCTCCCTACTACCGCCCATACAAATGCCTACATCACTTACATTCAACAGGTAATCCTGTTATACAACCTCTTGTAGATAGTTCTTCGACATAGCCAGGATTGACTTTAACAGTTAGACTGTTGAATCCTTATATGTGTCGTATTAATACACGTTCTTATGTTTAGTCGCAAGAATCACGTATTTATTTACTTTTAATTATTATTAACACAACACTTGTTCTCATCTTCATCACTTTAACCCTCACAATCAATTCTATTATCAATTTAAGTAACATGCAACCACTTGTAAGGGTTAAATGATTTACTTTTACCCCTCACTTACTCATTTTTTTGTTCTTCAGTCTAGCGTCAACCCCTTCCCTCGAAATCGAATCGTGCCAAGACGGCACAGAGAGAAGAAACTCCTCTGGAACGTTGTTGTCCCCGGAAGTTGACGCCAGCACCGAAACCGACGGTTTTTACCTACTTAAAAAAGACTCACAAAGACGCACAACACTTGCCAAGGTGCTCGCCCAAGATGGAGCCAAAGTCTGTGATGTATGGATGCAAAAAATTAGAGATAAATACGTTGGAGAGACTGTGCTTACGCAAAAACATCTTGCCTCGCTTATGGACGCTTTGAAGGAATATCTAACTGAACAATCGCTCTCGGTTGTCGAAACTGCCGTCCGGCAGCTAAAGGAAGAGCTTGATTTTGACGTGACGGCGATAAATCAACTCCAATTCGCCATTTATTTGTACCAGGTAAGTGGTTTTGTTGCGGTCGGGTTGGCTTTGGAATAGAAGATCATGTCGTTGATAACACCAACTGTCAACATGTTCACGCTTTTAGGTTAGGTATTGTTCTGGATTTAGGTCGACTTATAAACTTGTGGCTGACGTAGCTGTTCGCCGTTGACGTTGAGTTTTCAACCAATCAAATTGCGGTACTGTGCAGTGTTGCCATCTTGAAGGAAAATTGCCTGAAGCAGGGGGGACATTTTTCTAGTTGACAGCTTTCTATCAGTACTTATGCATTGTTAAAGATAGTTTTTGTAGAAAGCATCTATTTTGCAATTAGGCTCCGCTCCTCGGTCTGACAACGAATGAAAAATTCATCTCAATTGAGCTTGGGATAAATATGGGTGGGGCTTCATTTTTGGCTTATTTTTTTCTTAATATACATAGTATTCTTTGAACAACGCGATACTCAAAAATAAAGAGAAAGATTTTGCAATTAAGCTCCGCCCCTTTGGCTCACGACGAATAAAAAAATCATCAGAATTTAGATAGGGTGGGTGGGCGGGGCTTATATTGTTCCTTTTTTTATTAATATGTACATTTTTGCAAGGAAATATGGATTTTGCAATTATGGGGCGGGGCCTAATTGCAAAATCGATATTTACTTATACAAATTTTCCATTTTAAACATGTTTTAAGTTTTATTTTGTGAAAAAAAGTCTACACATATTAAAATAAAAAGGCAAAAAGTAAGCCCGCCCACCCGCCCGATCTCAATTGTGATGATTTTTTTTATTCGCCGTGAATCAAGGGGGGCGGAGCTTAACTGCAAAATACTTATTTCTTTACAAGAAATTAAAAACATGTTTTTGTTTTTTTATCGTGTCGTTCAAAGAATACTATGTAAATTAAGAAAAAAGGCAAAATACAAACCCCGCCCACCCACCCCATCTCAATTGTGATGATTTTTTTTTTATTCTTAGAAACTTAAAACACGTTTAAAATGGTATTTTTTAAAGGAAATATGGATTTTGAAATTAGGCTTCGCCCTTAGGCCTGCCAACGAATGAAAATTTCATTACTATTTAGATCAGGTCAGGTATGGGTAGGTGGGGCTTTTGACTTTATCTGACGTTATTCAAAGAATAACGTGATATTCAAAAATATGCCTTACATGGTAATTTCGACGATTAGAAAAAAATCATTGCAATTGGGATAGGGTGGGTGGGCGGAGCTTATATTTTGACTTTTTTCTTAATTTACACAGTATTCTTTGAACGAAACGATACTTAAAAACGTGTTTTTAATTTGTCGTAGAGAAATAAGGATTTTGCAGTTAAGCTTCGCCTTCTTGGGTCACGACGAATAAAAAAACTTCACAATTGAGATAGGGTGGGTGGGCGGGGGGAAAAGTCAAAAATCGAAGAATTGAAAAACTGAAATATTGAAAAACCGAGACGTCGAGCTAATTAAAATTCGAAATGGCGAAAAATTGAGAAATGGAAAAATCGGAACATCTAAAAGTCGAAAAGTCAAAAAATCGAAAAATCGATTATAATCGAAACTTTGAAAATGCCAAAAATTGAAAAATTGAAAATCGAAAATTTTGGAAAACTCCGGAATTGAAGTATGTATTGAAAAATGAAGGAAACGAAAAATTAAAGATTGAGTAATCGAAAAGTCCAAAATCGAAAAATTGAAAAGTCAAAATCCTGAAAAATTGAAAAACTTGAAAATCGAAAAATCGAGACGTCGAGCAATGGAAACGTTGTACTGTCGAAAAATTTAGGATTGAAAAAATCAAAACACACATCTAAAAGTCGAAAAATCAAAAAGATGGATAAAGCGAAAATTTAGAAACGCCAAAAATTGAAAATCGAAATATTTGAAAAATCCCAAAATTGAAGTATCGAAAAATGAAGAAAACGGAAAATTGAAAATCGAAAAATTGAATCAAATTTGTACTGAAATACCGAAAAATCGAGAAATCTGAAATTCGAAAAATTGAAATACATATTAAAAACTAAAAATAGGGAATCATTAAAAAATCGTAAAATCGAAATATTGAAACATCGAAAAATGTAAAAATTTAAAAAAACGGAAAATTTAAGCATCGAAAAGAAGTGAAAAATGGTGAAATAAAAAAATCGAATCGAAAAATTGGGAATTTGAACAATCAAAAAATCGAAAACACCGAAATCTTGATAAATCCAGAAATCGAAAAATTTCAAATCTGAAAACTCGAAAAATTAGAAATTTTAAAAATCGAAAAATTGAAAAACCTATAAATCTAAAATCGAAAAGTCGAAAAATCGAAAGATCGAGAAATCGAATCAAAAAATTGAAAAATTTTAAAATTTGAAAAACTGAAAAATCGTAAAATCGTAAAATCGAAAAGTCAAGAACCCGAAAAATTGAAGAATTGAAAAATTGAGAAATCGAGATGTCAAGCAATGAAAACATCTAGACAAATATGGATCTTGCAATTAAGCCCCGCCCCTCGATGTAACAACGAATGAAAAATTCATCACATTTGAGAATTGAGATCGGGGCGGGTATGTGTGGGACCTAATCTTTAGCTTTATTTCTTTCGTAATATACATAGTATTCTTTGAACAACACTGTACTCAAAACCATGTTTTTAATTTCTGGTAGAGAAATAAGGATTTTGCAGTTAAACTCCGCCCCCTTAGCTCACGACGAATAAAAAAATCATCAGAATTGAGATAGGGTGGGTGGGCGGGGTTATATTTTGCCTTTTTTTTTCTTACTCTACCTCTTTTCACAACAAGAAACTTAAAACACGGTTAAAATTGTACATTTTTACAAGGAAATATGGATTTTGCAATTAAATTCCGCCAAAGGGCTCTCGACAATTAAAAAAAATCATCACAATTGAGATAGGGTGGGTGGGCGGGGCTTATATTTTGCCTTTTTTCTTAATATGCGTAGTCGTTTTTTTTTTAACAAGAAGATTAAAACATGTTTAAAATGGTAAATTCTTGTAGACAAATATGGATCTTGTAATTAAGCCGCGCCCCTCAATCTGACAAGGAATGGAAAATTCATCACAATTGAGAATTGAAATCGGGGCGGGTATGGGTGGGGCCTAATCCTTCGCTTTATTTTTTCTTAATACACTTAGTATTTTTTGAACAACAGGATACTCAAAACCGTGTTTTTGATTTCTTGTAGAGGAATAAGTATTTTGCAGTTAAGCTCCGCCTCCTTTGCTCACGGCGAATAAACAAAATCATTACAATTGAGATAGGGCGGGTGGGCGGGGCTAGTAATCAACTTAAATCTTCCACTTTTCTTCTACAACTCTTTAAATACAGCAAAAGTTGAACATCAAAGTTACTATCAACGGCAACTTGGCAACGGAGTTTATAAATGACAATTTTCAGCTCTAAAAACAACGTCAGCGGGAACTTCAACGTCAACAGCAAGTTTATAAATCCCATTTTTAACTTGACATTGACAGATGTGTGGTCTAAGCACCCCGCATGCGCATACGTTTTTACACTATGAGCCTACCTAGATTATAAATTTAAAGACCCACACTTTATAAATCTGAAAATTTTGACATATATGACCTTCCGTTGTCGCCAAGTTTTGTCTGGAACTTTACCTTTGAACTTCTATTTGACACAACATGGCCAGCTAAATCTGGAATTTCATTGTTGAAATTGTTCTGCTAACCTCAAAAATTCGTTAGAACACCGCTAACTTAATCTGCCTCCCCTCCGCTCCGTAAAATAAAATAACCCTATTGCGATTTAGTTTGTGAAACTTTGCAATACAAAAAAAATTGTATATAAAACCTAGAAAGAAGTTAAGAAGAATATGTAAAAATATAGAGGGTGTTCTATAAAAAAAAAACTAAGTTGTGTGCTACAGAGTCTTTTATAAGCAAGCATTAGCTCCGCCCACCCACCCTTTATTTTCTTAGAAGATATGTCATTTACCAAAATTAGTCTTATCGTGGCAAGTACTAGCCCCGCCCACCCGCACTGTTCTCATTCTAACGATTTTATTTCTGTTCAGTATAAGATCGACCTTTCATTCTGGCAAGATAACATGAATCATTGAAATGGAGGCGGGGTGGGTGGGTGGGGTTTATTATATATTTTTCTGTAGTGTGAGAATAGGAATTAATAGAACGTAGGCTGTTAAAAAAAGAATCGTATTTTTTTTTTATTATACTATGTTCCATAAGATTTATTTTTTATTTCAGAACAAATACATTAGAAAACGGGTGGGTGGGCGGAGCTAACTTTAACTTTTTCCTACAGAGTCTTGTATAAGCAAGCAATAGCCCCGCTCATCCATCCCCCTCTTCATTCCAGTGATTACTGTTAAAATTGTTCAGTCATTTACCAAAATTAGTCTTATTTTAACAAATACTAGCCCCGCCCACCAGCCCTCTATTTCCTTCGAGGGTATGTAATTTGCCAAAATCAGTCTTATCTTAGCAAGTAATGGCCCCGCCCACCCGCCCTCAGTCCTATCTTACGAAGTACTAGTCCCGCCCACCCGCCCTCTATTTTCTTAAAGGTTATGTCATTTGCTAAAGTCAGTCCTATCTTACCCCCGCAGAGGCAGATCAAGTTGGCGGTGGTTGGGATTGACGGAAGAAAAAAGTTTGGTTTTCAAACATGTCAACGCTAACAAAATTTATCAGTCCCAAGAAAAAAATATGATTTTTTTTAAATTTGAGAGAAATATAATTGAAATAATAAAATGTTAAAATACGAACACACGACAAATAAGATATGTTAAAAAGTTATGTTATGAGTAGACAGCGGATTTCTGTCGGGCTACGTCACGATTTTAGTGGGGACGCGCTGCATCGCCGGGACTCAGTAGCGGGTGATAGGTAATCACTGAATTTAATTGTCACTTGATTCCATAAACACAATTAACGATTTATTAATCAAACGGCTAACTAAATGAGAACTGGAATTAACAGCAGAGTGCAACGAAGCAGTGTTATTCTAATCTCAAATAAACGAAGTGCAGCCGGTAACTGCAATGAATTCCCATCCCGTACGAGCCGTACCGAGTTTGGCCTTGTCTAGCCCGACAGAAATCCGCTCTCTAGTTATGAGAAAGCTAACTAGTTGTGTATTTATTTTCCAAAAAAAGAGAATCATTTTACCATTTATTCTAACGTAATTTCGTACCGTTCGTTTATTTCTTTATTTAATGATGTTTCATTAATTTAAAGCAAAACAGAATTGTGGACTCCTGATAGTTATTGTTATGAGACGAAATTAAAATTTTTAAACATCAATTGCTAAAAATAAACCAGCTAAATTTATTGATTACAAGCAAGTTTACTTATCTTTCATTTAAACGTCGCATTAAAAGATTTATTATTTTCTGGTCCGTGTCACAACTGACATATCAAAAGTAAATAATTCCCGATAAATTTGCAGATTTACTCCCTTCCGAATGCACTAACTGTTGACATTCCGTTATCAGTATTTACGTAACCATCGAGATAAATTAATAAACCTTCTTTCTGTTCAATACGTTGTGATTTTCCGCGCGCGTTAACTCGTTCCCTTTTAGGAATCCGTCAACGAAGTTCTACGTCTACATCCGATCAAACCTCACTGGATGTTCGCTCTCGACAACCTAGTTCGGTCAGGTGTTCAAGCCGCAATAACGGTTTTATCACCTGAACTGGGAGAAAACCTGGCCAATCACAGCTCCCCGAGCACCGTGAACTCGGCGAAGTCGACCAAAAGCACCGAGAGCTTCGATCTTCGCGACCAGGTTGTGCAATTTCGCTCCGAGAATGGCAGGCTCCTGCACGAGTTGCTAGAATCGCAGAAGCAGTACCAGGTTTTGGTAGGTGTAGGTGTGGTGTCTAGGCGTGGGTTGACGGTTTTGTTGAAGGTGAAGCAGTTGATCGAGAGCCTCCAGCACCAGTCTGAAGCTATCAAGGAAATTTGCTCGCGCCGCGAATGCCAAATCAAAGATGAGTTCGACGAAGACCCGAGGTTGGCGAGCTGGCTGCAAGGTTTGGGGGTTAACGAGTACTGCCGGAGGAAAATTTTAGCCGAGGGGTACACTTTGGACGAAGTGTTGTACAACATCGCGAGGGAGGATTTGCAGAGGATTGGTCTACGGGGGGCAGTCGAGTTTCGCATTTGGAGAGCTATCGAACAACATAGGCAAAGTACTACCGTTTATTTATGTAACGGGCTATCAGACGAAACAAGTACTGTCTAAACCATCAAAGTTTCTTTATTACCAGACTGTGATTTTTTTGTTTTCTTTTTTTTTATTAAGAATCTTCTTTAATTTGAAGTGCAATGATATTTATTGTATCAAATGAATATTTATTAAGTTATACAGATCATATTGTTTTCTAGGAGTACAAATTTCGGAAAGCACGCAATTTTATTTGTAAGGTTTTAATTGCAAATTTGTTTTAATTTTGCGTTTTAAATTGGTTGCTGCAAGGTTTAACTTTGATTCTTTTATATTAAAAGTGTAATCTGTGTATTTACATAGTAAAGTTTTCACTAAAAAACTACTTCATGGCTAACTCCACTAGGTTTTATTGAAATTGTAATACTAATACTACTGAAAAAGTTATGAAGTGCCTTCATACTAATGCATCACGTTATAGTTCAACTTTAGTATTACTGATGTTTTATTTTTGAAAAGATGTTTCTTTTTTTTAATTATGTAGGCTACGCTACGTAATCCTACTGCTGTTGAAATTATACTTTGTACAAGTCAATAAACTGACTAAATTCAAAAATACTGGCTTTTATTTTAGTCACTTTACATAAGTCTTCATTAAAACATCATTAGACATGACAAGGTACATAAATAGCAATAAAATAAGAGTACAAAAGTTACTTTCCTAAAATAATCTTTCTTGAGGCGCCAAAGCTTTGGCCGGCCTGTGTTGCTCCCTTATTGGTACCAGCCTGCAAGCCAATAATGGCTTCTCCAGCACGCAATTGTTGCTGAGTAAACTCGCGCTTATTCTCTTCTGATGGTCTGGGTCCCAACCAAGGACCTCTCCACTCAGGGTGCTTGTAAGCTGTGCGACCAATAGCAAAAATGGTGATTGTTACGGCGGCGATGTTCTTCTGATCCCACAAATCCGTGCTCTGGAAAAGATCCACGTCTGGGACCCCATATTTAACGCAAGCCTTCTGGAACCTGCAAAATAATATCCCTTTTAAAATCAAAGATCCTCGATATTTTTCGTCAAAGGTAAAGTAGGCCATGTAAATCTCGTAATTTGGTTGGCAACCAATTTCGTTTGCAAAAATCCCTAATTAAAAATGAAATTTATCATAAAATAAATGTTCTGTATTTATGCAACCAATTATACACACAGTTAACACCAATTTCCAACACCACCTCGCGTTCCTCTTCTCCTAGTACTAGATTTACTGATTGCACTAGTTGATGATACTGATTCCTTTGTTGTGTTAATTAGTTATCCGATTTTCATTAAAAAGGTGTTCCGTATTGGCCGTTGTTGTGTGGACGAGTTTGATCTGAAAACTCGTCTCGTGTGACTTGTTGTCGTTTCTGCTGCCCTGCTACCACAATTTCATACTGGATGATTTATGTAGAGCAAGTAAAATTTAATCGGGTAATCCGGCTAATTCGATCAAATTAGCCGGTTACCAATTGGTCCAAACTTCCTTATCGCCAAACGGGCCATTTTCTTAAAACACCAATAAATAATTAAATGTGCTCCCGTTTAAAGTGGGACGGACAATTTAAGCACCAAGGACAATACCTGTGCTTCCTCGTGGTAACAGGAACGCAGAAGAGCAGCTGGGTGGCAGAGTTTGTTCATTTTTTAACACTTTTTCTCTTTAGATTATTATTACAGCGGTTGCGTTATAGCCACATTATTTTAAAATCATGCATAATTAATAGCACTGGGTTTTACAACCCACAAATGCTAAAATAAAATAAAGTAACAATAATGTGAGCTAAAACTATTCCGGTTAGTTCAAGATAGTTCGAACTTCGTACCATGATTACACAACGTCACAGTTATCAAAATCTTCGCGGATTTATCACAACTCCTCCTCTCGATTATGCGGTCCTGCTACCAAACAAGTTAAAATTTACTTCGTCCGTAGGTAAAAATTATTGTGTTTTTTGCGAGTTTTGCACTGCAATCAAAGTTTCATTTGTGTTTGGTGTACTATACACAGCTCTAGAACCGGCTTAATTTTAATTCGAGACCTCTTGGGGTTTCTGGTGTCCTAATCAGAAGGTGTTAAACTTGACGGCATAACGTTAAATTTGTCGTTTTATGAACGTCACTTAAATTTTAAACTGCCGTGTTTAAATAAAATTATCTTTCAAGTACATCCAGCTGTTCATGTTGTCTTGATAACGAGAACGTTAAAATTTAATTCCTATGCAGACACGTGACGGAGTTCGTTGTCGGCGGTTTTTGGTTTTGGTAGTTGGACTGTATTTTTTGGCGATTTTGACTGTGATTTAAGACGTTTGGTATTTGTTTTTTTCTGAGTATTGAAGATTCAAATACCGTTTTCACGTATCTGTCTACAGAACTGATTACTTTAATAAAAGTAACTAATTCAAGTTAATTCGCGATTAACTTTTAATTGAGGTCCGTTGCTAGGCAACGTGCATATTCTAACCAATCACAGGCTCATACATTTTAATCCTCAGTTAAATTAATCGACGACTAGTAAATATTTAATTTGCTTTCTATATATAAACCGGCCCTAAGTATTCTTTTAGTTATCGTTAAGATGGTAAAACGTTAGAAATATTTTTGTTCTTGTGTGGCTTAAAATAACTAAGTTTGATCTAAAATGAATAGCATTTGTCAATTTTTTACACTATTGGGTTTTATAACAGGATTTAATAACAATAAACGATAACTGATACACGATTTATTGTCTGATCTGTCACAACAAGCAGGATAAACAATGTTAAATCACGTCATTTTGGTAATCTTTACAAAGTATATTTTTGTATACTAATAAAATTTTATGGCCCATGGTGTAATTTAGGCCAATAACCTTCCTGGTACAGATCTTCGTCTGTGGCAGATGAAACGTTTAATATCAGAGTTGTATTCAGGAAAATAATTGTTCGTCAAAGATTCTAGTGAGATAAAATAATTTCACACTATTTCAAGTTTATATACAAACACAAACAATATTCTATTTAGATGATCCTCATGGATATATTGGTTAAATTTATTATACCGTACGACCCTGGTCGGGGTTTGACTACCACCAATTTATTAATTACGGATTTTGAGTTATTTTATTATTAGAATACAAAAATTGTGTGACGTCATCCAAAAAAAATCTAAGCTTCCCAGTAAAAATACGACTAAATACTAAACCCATTGTTTGTTCACGTCTTCAGAACATTGATGACGTCAAAATTTTGTTAAATGTACATAACTGGTTCACTTGAAAAAGTCATCAAGTTGGCGTTGCTTTTTATAAAAGGTAATGAAAAACGCATGTGTTTTATTAATCCACTAGCTGTTACCCGCAGCTCCGCTTGCGTGGATTTCGCAATTAGGGCACATTATTTTTCATCCCCTGATTTATTTTTTGATTTCAATTTTATTACTTTTTAAGTTTGTGCAGTCTTCATTAATAACAATATATAAAAGTGTTTGTCCTCCGCTTGACAAATCAACTTAACTACTGGAGCTATAGAAACACGAAATTTGGACAGAAGGTTCCTTTCGTAATGTAAGCATCCATTACCCCTAGGTGTATGAAATAAGGACTGAAAGTTTGGTGTTAGAGTCCCGTGAATTTTTAAATACGACGGAGGGGGGGGGGGGTGAAACAAAGTTATTCTATAACATAGGAGTATAATACAATACATCTTTTTTTTATAAGTGGCCATAAGGATTCCCATGTTAAATTTTATACCCCATGTTAACATATGTTTGAGTAAAGATTTAAAATATTTGGATATTTTTGTCGCTAATAGCTGTAGGCAGCTATGTAAAAACAAACATTTACCTGACCTATCTAACTTGGTTGTAAATTTGATATTATTCTGTACTTAATAAAGTTTCGTTGTGCCTATAAAAGTATGTCATAGCTAATCTCTCTGAGATAGTCTCTGTTTTGTATGACTTCTTCACGTCTTACAGGCAAACCATAGTACTCTCAACATTGTCTTCCTAAAGACAGCACCGTGTCTTTAATGGAAATCAGACACTTGTTGTACACTTCATTTATAATCTGAACACTCTCTTGACAGTCTGACTTAACTTGACAAACCCAAAGCTTTGCATAATGACTGGTATGTGAAATAAACGACACTACCAACAGTTTTTAAATCCGAGAATTATGTTGGCCCTCTCATCGCATGAAGAACATTCCGCGTTATTAGGGTGAACGGTGTACACTCCGGTCACAGCTTGATCTCTTTTGACTCCCGGCGAACCATCAACATTGTTTCCACTTTTTCATCTCTCAAATTTGGTACTTTTCCACACATAGTATTAAGGTACTTCAACATAAAGAAAGATTTTTGCAAAAGTATCCACTTTGCAAAGCTCAAAAAATGATAGAGGAGTAGTTTTCTGTGAATTATTTATCTTTTCAGTTACATTATTAAAGTCGTTAGGATTAAAATAGACAGCAGGCCATTTTCCAAGTGCACTGCGAGATGAAAAACCGCTGGAAATTGTTCATGTATAGGAAAGGCCAAGATTCTCCAGCTGCTAATATATCGACCACTTTCATATAATTTGACCTCATCAATGTGATTTTCAAGAGCAAATAATCCTGGTTGGATCCTTTATTAACACATTTGCATATATATTTATTGGATTTTTTCTTTCAGGAGAATTCAAGGATATTTTTTGGTATAGTTACCTCATTTTATACACGGAAACACAAAATTAGAATACTTATATGAGAAATACTCTTACAATTCGTGACATAAAACACAACCGTCAATGCCGTTTTGGCCTCACGCGTCCGACCGCAGACCGCGTTCGCTTCGCAGTCGCTTACTCGGTGACGTCGCGCCCTCCCTATTTCCATACAACTTCTTAAATTTCAAACGCTTAGGACTGATTTTTCCAATAATCCTACTGCCTCTAATATGCGAAAAACATATTTAACTATTTTAAACTTTGATTTTTAACCACTTTTGGATTAATACTTAACTTCTCCTGTTTCTCACATTTCCACCCAAATTATATTCCGTTGGGGATGAATATCAAAAAAAAAAATTTAAAGACAGTCAAGACAAACAATTTTATATGATTACCAAATTTCAAGTAACAAATGTGTTGGAGGGTATTAATACAACATTTCAAGTAAACATCGCCATACAAATATTTTTTCTCATATAAACTTTGTCACCTCATTTGATCTTCTTAGGGGTAGAATCTCAAAAACAGCTGAAATACGCATTACATTGTTTGTGTTCAAAAGCATTAATATTAAGTTCCAAGCAAAAATTTACAATAGAAATATTTTTCCCATACACAATTAGTTACCACTTTTTACCCCCTTAGGGGTTGAATCTCGGAAAATGCTGAAATACGTGTGTCATTATATGTGTTGAAGAGCACTAATACCAAGTTACACGTGAAAATGTGCAACAGAAGTAGTTTTCCCATACAAACTTATCCACCACTTTTTACCCCCTTAGGGGTTGAATTTCGAAAAATGGTGAAATACGTGTTTCGTTATTTGTGTTGAAAAGCATTAATACCAAGTTTCACGTAAATATTTACAACAGAAATGGTTAGGAAATAGTCTTCCTGTACAAACTTTACCACCCCTTTTCACCCTTTTAGGGGTGGAATTTCCCAAGTTCCTTTCTTAGTGGGTGTTTACATCACAAAAGCAAACTATTGTCCAAATTTCATGTTTCTAGCTGCAGTAGTTTAGGCTCTGCGTTGATGAATCAGTCAGTCAGGACAAACAATTTTATATGTATAGATTATGTTGTTTACAATCGACATTTCAGTTGTCATCGATTAAATTTTAGGGTTATTCTAGACATACTTTACAAAGTTTACAAAAAATCAAGAGCAACTTGATGACTTTTTTAATTGAACACCCAATATGTCACGGGAAGTGTATTAATTTAATAATCCTTCATTATTTTCTATTTTACACATAGAAGTAATTTTAAGAAACAATGTACATACGAAACGAAATTTGTCAATTTGTATTATTTAAATTGTTTCATGAAATTTTAGCAAAATCAGTGATTTAAGGGTAGAACTTTAACTAAAATGCATTTATTAATTGAAACGCAATCTCATAATATGTATTATCAAATAAATCTTTGTTGAAAATTACTTTGAGACATATGACCGAGAAAAAAGTGGTCTAAAGTTATTGGACCAAGTCTACTGTACCGGGTCGTCTCATTTGCTAAAATCAATCTTATCTTAGTAGGGACTAGCCCCCCCCCCCACTCTCTATTTTTTTAGAGGGTATGTCATTTGCCAAAATCGGTCTTATTTTGACAGGTACTAGCCCCACCTCCCCACCCTCTCTTTTCTTACAGGGTATCTCATTTGCCAAAATTACTCTTATCTTAGCAGGTCCTAGTCCCGCCCACCCACCCTCTCTTTCCTTGGAAGGTATGTTATTTGCCAAAATCTATCTTATTTTAAAGGTACTAGCCCCGCCCACCCGCCCTCTCATCTCTTACAGGGTATCTCATTTGCCAAAATCAACTTATCTTAGCAGGCACTAGTTTTCTAAGAAAATAAAGGGCGGGTGGGCGGGGATAGTGCTTGCCCAGATAAGGCTGATATTGTCAAATAACATACCCAAATTACATACAAATAAAAGTTGTCATAATTATTGTGAGTACCAACGTATTAATTAAAACTTTAATAAAAGTGTTTACCATTACTATGAAGTGGCAAATCTACAGAGTTTGTAAATTTCACAGCTCACTACTAAAATATTATTTTTGTCAAATAAAAAAATCAATGGTGAACAAATTGATCATTTTATTTTTTATTACAAAAGACGAAATTAAAATAATACCAACACTTCCAAATTAATGGATTATAGAATTCCTCGTATTGTCTTCCCAGTTTAAAGTGGTTTTTATGATAAGTCCATTGTGTCGAAGTTGATGATGGAGACAATGGAGTAAATCCCTAGCCATAAATAAGAAAGTGGGTGGTTTCTTGCAGGGCCGTACTTTGTTATTCAACTCATATTGTCCGTCGTGGGGTAATAATGAGGTGATAATGTTTATTATCTTGTCATAAAAACCACTTTAAACTGGGAGTACAATATAGTGGATATTTTAAATTACTGTGGGCAATCTTTTACTTACCCTGAAGATAGCGGTTTTAAGCATAAATTAAAGTTTAACCATTGCATTGCAGAAAATTACATTTTTTAAAAAATTAATAACAACAGAAAAAAAATGTAACTAGCAGTTCTGGAAAAAGATAAAATTTTTAAGATTTAATTTGAAACATTATAAAACGGAAGATTATTTTTTGCTTAAATTTAAATTTTCGTGAAAATATGATTCTTGGAAACAAATAGCAAAAATAGTATGTTGCCATAAAACGTTTTGATCATGACATATACAGGGTGAGTCACTAAGCGCGCGGTCTTCGATATCTCATAAAAAAAAAGTTAAAGTTATATGGTTTTTAGTACATAAACAACTTATTTTCGACTATACAGAGTGTTCTATTTTTACGGCGTAACATAACGGGTGTTCAATTAAAAGTCATCAAGTTGGCTTTGCTTGTTTTAGAAGAAAACGTAACCACAAAAACACATACTGCTGAGTATAATTGACCTTTCCGCGTCATCGTCAGCTGTCATCGATTAAATTTTAGATTAATTGTAGCAAGTAGTACAAAAAATTACGATTAGCGTTTTTTGTTACTTTTTTTACATCCTAGATTCTATTAGTTTCCACTCCCACTCCATAGGAGAACATAATTAGCCTCGCCCACCCACCCTGCCTTCATTTCAGTGATTAATTTTAGCCATTCTGAATGAAATCTTATACTCAACAGAAATAAAATTAGTCGTTAAAATCAGAAGAGTGGGGGTGTGCGAGGCTAGTACTTGGTAAGATACAACTGATTTTGGCAAATCACATACCTTCCAAGAAAATAGAGGGTGGGTGGGCGGGGCTAGTATTTGATAAGATATGACTGATTTTGACACTAGACATTTTCAACGATTTCCGAAGATTAGCTAGACATTTTCTTGTAGATTTCGACAACCAGAAGTCATATTAGACTTCTTTGCTTCGAAAATTTCTATCGTTCTGTCAAAACCGCCAGATGAAATATAGTAACTTTCACAGTTCCAACAGCAAATAGTATAAAAAAAATACGATTAGCACTTTTTTTACTTTTTTCACATCCTAGATTCTAGTAGTTTTCACTTCCACTCCATAGAAGAACATAATTAGCCCCGCCCACCCACCCCGCCTCCTTTTCAATGATTCATTTTGTCTAGACCGAATGAAAGGTGGATATCAAATGAAGAGAGATAAAATCGTTAGAATGAGATCTGTCTGTATAATAAAAATCGACACACAGCGGACAGACCGCAGAGATGGTAGAGGGTAGAGGACAGATAGATAGACAGACAGACAGACAGACAGACGGAAATGGGCGACCTATTTTTTCACACTCTAAGGGTTATTAAACGTCGACTAAACATAATCAGATGGACTCTATTACAGTATTTCCTTAGTTTATACTCGAGAAGTAAAAATTAATGTTGCCAACGTCATCGTGTTAGCTGTTCATGTTAATGACTTTGAGATTTAGGGTCTAATTAACTGTCAAATAATTCCAATGTGAATATCATTATTTCAAAAATAAATTTCATAGATCACTAGTGGACTTTTTTCGATAAATGGTGTGAAATACATTCTACCTAGAGGGCAATAAAAAATACGATCAAAGGCAGCCATGGATTTTTGAATATTTGTCTTTGATATAATTTTTGTCTTGTCAGATTACCGTCAATTTAAAAGTTTAAGTTGAAAATGCAACGATCAAAGACAAACTCTGAAAATTCCATGGTTGCCTTTGATCGCGTTTTTTATTTTTCTCTCAAAATTAATATACATATTTGCTTGACTAACAAGTTAATATTGTCATCAGAAAAATGATTTAATAAATCTTTGTTGAAAAGTACATAAACAAAATTGCTGACGTCATTTCTAAAAGTTATGTGAATATTGTTAAAAATAAACAAGATAATATTTTGGTTTTTTTTTTCAAATGATTACCATCATATAAAAAGAGTGATTAAAAATTAAATTCGAGGCAAAAGCGGAGGGTAGTAATCAGACGAGGACTAAAAACCGCTATAATTTAGAATTCAACATATACAGGGTGCTGAAAAAAGGCGTACCAACGCTATGACACGTTGTTGAGGACTGTTTATGGAGCAGAGAAAAAGTAATTTAAAAAATTCTTGGGCCCAAATGTAGAAAATATAGCCCTTCAAAATTTAACTTTTGTTTTCAATATTTCACTATATTCTAATTCACCACTTTGTGTTGGATACATGAAATCAATTAAACTTCCATTATTCAAAATAATTTTGAAGGTATCTTGTTTACATCCACAGTTTTCTTCATTTTATGAAGATAATATAACAAAAAACTTAAAAATTGTTCAGGATGAATTGGACAAGTGTCTCGAATTTTTAGAGTTTTTTGATGTATCAGTCTAAATCGATATTATGTTTCTGTAAGTGAACGTCAAATTGAGATGAGGGATATTTTAATGATTTTTCTCGAACTTAGACTTGTGAACTTAATAATGTACTGTTGAGTTGGTGCGCCATTTTTTCAGCACCCTGTATATTTTTAAGGTGGGTTTATTTATTTAAAAAGAGTACATTTTAAATACAGCAAAATATCATTAATATTTATATAGGACGTTTTTTTTTATTTTTAGAGTTAAAATCACACAGGATCTAAACTGCATCCTAAAAATAAACGCACCCAAAATTGAGTGTTTGAATTCAATTCAAACAGTTCAAATTTCAATTAACCCAACTCATTTCCCTCGTATTTGTTTCGAACTTTGAGCTTTTGCAATCATCCACTCGACTTGAATCAGCGATATTTGTAGTCAGGTAGGCGCGGATATTGCTCAATCTCCCAAACAGACCGATCTTATTTTTAGAAATCAAAACATTAAACCGCCAATTTTGCTTGATCTTTACCGTCACCCGATCACCTCCTCCGAAAAACAATAATTTCAACACAAAACTACACAGGAAATCACTTTGAACGAAACACTTTTCGTGTCGAAAGTTAAGACGCCAGATTTAAATTTAGTTTATAAAAAATATTGTCTGAAACCGATAAAGCTCATCCTGCGAGTCGTAAAAATGGATTTATTTATAGGGGCGATAACCGCCGAAAATAGCCCACGCGGCGCTCATCTCAAAATTTCTTCATCCGCGATTTATCCCGCTTTTATTTACTAACAATATCGCTTGTGAATGGATAGAAGGTCAGGTGGACCGCATAAATTTAAAAAAATTCATTCATACCGGCGCTGGCTTTGTTGTGGTGTTTTCGCCAAGATCGTAATGAATTCGCGTAATTAAAGTGATACTTACTGACTGAGGTTGTCCATCATCTTGTAGTCGCCGCCGGAGGTGTTGATTTTGCTGATGAGACCAGGGCATAGGCGATTCATCAACTTGCAGAGGATGATTCCGTCGCGAAGAGCGTACTCGTAGGGGACTCCCGGGGGGAATCGTTCCCCGATCACGGCTTCGATCCAAGCCTGGGCTTCCTTTTCTTGCTCGGGGTCCCTCTTCCCGGCAACCTGCAACAACCAGATTTTTCCATGACACGCTATATCAAAGTTGATCCAGTGGCGAAATCGTTAATTATTCGGTGTATTTTTAGCCCCAGCAGCTGTATAATTGACCACATTTTCAATCCCATTTTATGTTCATGTGTAGTTATAAATTTGAGCGAAAATTGGTTTGTGGTCCAAGAAAAAAATCGTGCCAAACTCCATAAATCGGGATGCATCGAAAGCGTCATTTTTAAAAATACATCACTCGCTGGAGGAATTTTTGAAAATCGCAGCAATTTTCAAAATCTAGAGTGTCGGTGTCTGAGTTGGTAATCAAAATCCGGTTGATGTGTAAAAGGCAAAAATGAATGATTGAAAAAACAAGTGTGAGCGTATGTGACGCCCCCGCTTGGGCCTCCCATAAAGACCATCAGCTGGCAGCAGACGCTTCAGTCAGTATCGTCGCGACGCTCAAATCATACACTCTGCACGATGTCTGTAAGTTGTCTTTGCCACCTCCGTTTGCACTAACATTAATTACAGTGTTTGCAAAAGCACGTTTCAACATCATTAGACGTGTCGATTGAGATGTCGTTTCAACTTTCAAACTTTTCCAATTTCAAAAAACACCGTTATTAATACACACCTGAGCTTTCGCATAAATAACCACGCACAGGTGCCACTCTTGGCACTAGTTGACATTTGCCCAAAAGCACACATTTCCCAAACCCTAAAATAGCCCGATTCTGAGTGGCGTATTTTTGGAAATGATTTGGCGTTTGGTAGCCGTAAATCATAGATTTTAAAAATAGCTCGTTTCGTAGAAACGCGACAAGGAATTAGAATCGCAAGTCCTCAACTGGATTTTCGAAGTAATCGGAGAACCGACTCCCAAGGGAGAATTCGAAGACATTCTTCGCGATGGAGTGGTCCTTTGCAACCTTATCAACAAACTGGCGCCAGGCAGCGTCAAGAAAATCCAGGCGAAAGGGACAAATTTCCAGTTGATGGAAAACATCCAGAGGTTCCAAGCCGCTGCGAAAAAATACGGGTTGCCTCAGGAGGAGATTTTCCAAACTGCGGATTTATTTGAGAGAAGAAACGTAGCTCAAGTATGTCTGGTTTTGGAAACGTAACGAAACTCAAAATGGTTTTCTAGGTGGCGTTGTCGCTTTTCGCTTTGGGGCGCATCACCCAGAAGCACCCAGAGTACAATGGACCGTCGCTGGGACCAAAGATGGCCGATAAGAACGAGAGGTCGTTCACGGAAGCCCAGCTGAGGGCTCACGAGGGCGAACTCAACCTCCAAATGGGCTACAACAAGGGCGCGTCTCAGTCGGGACACGGCGGTTTTGGCAACACTCGTCATATGTAAACGTTTTTATACCTCTTCTTCAAAGCTTTTCTTTTATTATTTTTGTATAAGAGTACTAGGCTAGGTAGGGTAAATAAATTTTGTAAATTTCTTCATTTTTGTAACGTTTTGCTTCATTTTGATTTTGGAGTTTGTCAGTATTGAGCGTACTACCAAAGTGTATATTTTTAGATTCCACAGCTGCATACTAAAATAGTTTGTCTACGAAAACGCTAATGCAGAATATACATCAAGTGAGGAAGATGTAATAAGCAAACATTTATTTATGTCTCACTAATAAATCTGTTATAAATATACTGTTAGTAGTTATGTTTTGTGTCTATTTTATTTGTTACTTTAAGGAGGTTTTAAATGATTCGTTCTCACGACTCAAGACACGCACTACTCATTTTTGCGCTGATGTAACAGGTGAGCTAGTTTTGAATTTTAGATTCGCTTTCAGCTTTCACCGATAACGATCCAACCGCGAACGCTTGAACTTGAACTTATGAAAAACAACATTCAGTTCAGATTTTTTTAGAAAAAGAATTTTATTTACTGGTCAGTTTAATATTATTTAGTGCAACACGAATGATTCTTTTTTCGAATCATAACGGGAAAACCACAAAATCTACTTACTCATTTGAAAAGGAAATCTTAAATAAAAATGAAATCTTAATTATAGATGGTAAAAATAAGTTGGCACCACTGTTTTAAAAAACGTATTACACTCAAAAAAGTGGCTGCTTAGAGTTTTAATGATTTGTTTTGACACTTTACTGATTTGTTTTATTTTAATTTGAATAAAGTCTTATTTCAGAATTTTTTGGGAGTGAAAAGGACGTATTGCTCATACAATTGCAAAATTTTATTCCGGGCACATAATTTTTTTCATAATGTTTTCATGTAAGATTTTCTTAATAGAATTTTATGATGACGTCTTCAACATTTTAATAGGGGCAAATATATCAGTTTGGCCAAGTACAATGTAACAATAATAACAACAGCACTGTGCTGCCAAAATTTCAAGAAAATGAGGTCAGCTGTTTTTGATTTAATTAATAGAATATCTTGCTTCATATATTAATTTTTTGAGACATCCTGTATAAATAGTCCTAAAAGAGCATGTTTAAAGAAATATATGCTATTTTTCTCATTTCAAGGAGATCTACTTTTTCATATTCTAGAGGCCATGGAACATCGAGAAAACCTGAAATTAGTTACGATATTATGTCCCCGGATTGGGTTAACAAGAGAACTCTTTTGATTCGTCGAAGGAATCAAAAAAAACTTCTCTAGTAGGCCCTGTAATTTATTTTTAAAATAATGATGTTGGCGTTGCATTTATTTGACTTTTACCTGACAGTTATTCGACCGTAACTTGGTTGATGTTGCCAACATCATTATTCTTAAGAAGTTGCTCAGTCTACTAGAGAAGTTTTTTCGATCATAATGTGGATATTTCACCCACAAAATTTTTAAATAATAGAAATTTTTAAAACAAATAAATTTTTGTACAGACAATTCAATTCAAAAAACTTAATTTTTAAAGTTTATAGAGTAATCAGCAAGTGCTGTTTCAATTGGCAGACCTTACTTATTGTCAAAACTGGCATGGTTTACATTGACATTCACTTTACGTCAAAATTTGTTATTGATTATTCCTACTAAAATACCATAACCAAACTTTCTTAATAAAAATAATTTGGTGCCAAGAATCAGGTTAGCAATATAATCACAAGAAAATTCTCTCAGAATTGATAATTCTATTGCCAACTGAAACAGTACACCTCTTGATAACGCTATAGGTACTTTAGTAGTTTTAATTACAGAATTAGTTATATGAAGCGAAGCAACAATTGTTTTTCTTTCACTTTTTTTAGAAATTCATAAAGTTTAGGTGGTTTTATCAGTTCATGCAAAGATATCATGCGAATAAAAGCCCTCGAGCTAAAGCTCTCGGGCTTTTTTCTCCAATTAAATTCAAATTAATACATCAGGAGAACAACACATTTATTCTAATCTAGGGTTATTAAGGGTAATTTCAAACAGGATTTACTTCGCAAAATTTTAAGATGACGTAGTCAAATTTTTGGGAGGGATTAATGGATAAACTTTGATTAGTTTAAGATAATTTTAAAGTATGTGCAAAATTTCAGTGCAATCGGTCATGTAGTTTCTAAGATATATTGTAAAATTTTGATTTTTTTTCCAAAAATCGACATACTCAAAGTTAAAAATAAAGGTGAATTAAAAATCACAAGTACAACAGACAGGAAAAAATGGGACCTACTTTTTCATATTCAAGAGGCTATGGAACGTCGAGAAAACGTGAAATCAGTTATATGTATAGCATGTGCTCGGATTAAGTTAAGAAGAAATTCTTTTTATTTGTTATATACAGAAAAAATCAAAGCATTAAAAATTTTGGTTTGACGTAAAACATGTTCCATAACTACCATATGGTAAAAAAGTATTTAGTATCCATGAAATTTATTTTTAAGATAATGATGCTGTGAACAGCAACACTTTCTTTGTTCAGTTTGACATTAAGAAAAAAGGTAAAATATAGCCCCACCCACCCACCCTATCTCGATTGTGATGATTTGTTTTTATTCGTCGTGAGCCAAGAAGGCGGAGCTTAACTGCAAAATCCTTATTTCTCCACGAGAAATTAAAAACATGTTTTTGAGTATCGTGTTGTTCAAAAAATACTACGTACATTCAGAAAAAAATAAAGCCAAAGATTAGGCCCTACCCATACCCGCCCCGATCTCAATTCTCAATTGTGATAAATTTTTCATTCATTTTCAGATCGAGGGGTGGGGCTTAATTGCAAGATCTATATTTGTCTAGAAGAATTTACTATTTTAAACATGTTTTAAATATCTTTTTCTGAAAAGACGACAATGTATATCAAGAGAAAAAGCAAAATATAAGCCCGCCCACCCGCCCAATCTCAATTGTGATGATTTTTTTCTTAATCGTCGAGAGCCAAAGGAGCGGAAGTTAATTGGAAAATCCATATTTCCTTACAAAAATGTAGTTACCATTTTAAACGTGTTTTAGATTTCCAAGAATAAAAAAATCATCACAATTGAGATGGGGTGGGTGGGCGGGGTTTATATTTTGCCTTTTTTTTAATATACATGGTATTCTTTGAACAACACGATACTCAAACACATGTTTTTAATTTCTTGTAAAAAAATAAGTATTTTGCAGTTAAATTGCGCCTCCTTGGTTCACAGCGAATAAAAAAATCATCACAATTGAGAAAGGGCGGGTGGGCGGGCTTACATTTTCCCTTTTTGTTTGAATATGTGTAGACGTCTTTTCGCAACATGAAACTTAAAACATGTTTAAAATGGAAAATTTGTATAAGGAAATATTGATTTTGCAATTATTGCAAAATGCATATTTCCTTGCAAAAATGTACCATTTTAACCATGTTCTAAGTTTCTTCTTGTGAAAAGTTGGCTATGTATATTAAGAAAAAAAAAAGGTCAAATATAAGCCCCGCCCACCCGCCCTATCTCAATTCTGATGATTTTCTTTATTCATCGTAAGCCGAAGGGCGGAGCTTAATTGTAAAATCCTTATTTTTCTATCAGAAATTACCATGTGAAATATGTTTTTATCAAAATTTAATTTTCGTGGAATTAGTGCCGTCAAACAGAAAAATGTCCCCTCTACTTCAGGGGATTTTCCTTTAAGTTGGCAGCACTGCACACTTCCGCAATTTGATTGGTTGAAAACACAACGTCAACGGCAAACTGTAACGTCAGCGACAAGTTTATAAATCGATCTTTAGGGCCACTTACTTTCAAATAACTGTCAACTAAAGTGTCAAATATCGGCAATACCAACATCATTATTTTAAAAATTAATTTCATGGCCTACTAGACGATTTTTTCTTCGATCATATGGTATTTCACAAAAAAAACCTTTTGAATTGAGTATTTTTAAATAAATCAGTTTTTATACGGTTAGGAATTTAATTAAAAAAAAAATGTTTATTTTATTTAAATAGTTGTCCATACTTCTGTTGTTTTAGTTGCAGAATTATCTATAAAGCAAAGGACTGATTTTCATTCATTTTTAGAAAATCGCCAATAATAATTGTTTTCCTCCTGTACCCTCAATCCTGGGACATACTATATAGTCAAGATACTATGTTTTGAACTATTTGATCTACATAAATTCTTGTATTGTTTTAATGAATAAATTTGGTTAAAATATTGTGTGTCACCTGAATTAAAAGTAACTTTGTATGCCTTGCATGGAACTATCTAACTCACGGCGTTCGTTGCGCAAACTTACACGGTTGGACACATAAAGTGAAACTTTTACTCTTTCATGAAAACCGGCAGAGGTGACTCACAGAATCAATGTTTCGGTTACAACGACAATTTTTTTTCTATTATTTTAATTTTATTTTTATATTATTTTAAATGTATTTCTTTATTTATTTATTTTTAACTATTGTCGCAACGGTAATTACGTGTACATTTAAATGTCTTATTACAAAATCCCACAAACATTTTTGGTCAATAAATTTTCAAACAATGGCTGCACATCATTTTCCTTTTCTTTAATCCATTAAGGTTTATGTTTATCCTCGTGTGTCTTTGGCACCAATCTAACAAATATAGAGAAAGCAGGTCGAAATATCCTCAATTTCGTACAACACATTACGTGATCGTGGAAAATGGCGAAAAACGGCCCCTTCCACTAGCGGAAATTGCCTTTAATCATCCAGGTAAGTACACGCCGAATAACTTAAATCAACAAAAATATCTTCGAGGTAAAAACCAGACTTCTACATTAACCTTTCGCCTTTCGTATTTTCCAAATTTATATAACCAACCCGGAAGGGTTTCCAGATATAAAATGGCACCGTTTCCAAAGATGTACACTATCAGAATTAATTAAATGATCTTAAAGGGTAATTCCGAACTCGGCCACTTTCTCCAAGCAACTCTACATTTTGCAACATACAACAATCAGACAAAATCACCTGCCGATAATTGGCATTAATTACTCAAATATCGCACTTAAGCACAATCAGCGCATATGCGTGACCTTTGAATTAAGCAATTCGCGATGTTGTCACCCATCCAGACCTAGCACAACATTTCTAGCCGAAGGAAGTTAACAAAGCCGCAATTATGTTATAGTGTGTAATAACAAGCATCGCGTGTTCTCGAGACGTACTTAAAAGAAAATTAAGTACTATCGATTTCCTTTGCGAAGACCCCTCCACTTCCACTTAACTCCGGCTGCAGAACATAAATTGGAAAACACCGGCAGTCTGGCACAAATGGCATACACTTTTGCTCTTGTAACCGTGTTAGTGGCGACAATTATGTAAGGAAAGACCATAGACCAGAACTTAAGTGAAAGTTTATCTTAATATGATTTGATTCTGGGTTCTGAAGCCAAGTAAACATGTTGCGAGTTGCAGTGCTTGTATTTTTCCTACACTTTGCATGCGGTGTTATAAAGCATCGTAAGTATTCAAAGTCTCGTGATTTTTGACTAAGTTTTCTGTTCCAGCTGATTATGTGAAAACGTGCTATAAGAAAGATCCTGAATTTATTAATTGTTCCACACACGCTGTACAAGCGCTGTTCGATGCTATTCCCCCTGGACAACCTGATATTGGATTAGCACCTCTGGATCCCCTAAAAGTCCCAAGGCTTAACGTAAGACCCATTTTTGTATTCGATTAAATAATAATTAAGTGACATCCAACAAGGACGTGTCCTGTCACTCAAAATTCAATAATTTGCATGTTTCGTTGCAAATTATGAAAAATTATTGTGTCAGGGCTAAATTAAAGCGGAAATTCTTCCGCACTTGTTGAACATGTAACGATGAGTTAATCATTTTCTAAAAAAAAGATTAATTGTTCATTTGTTTGGATTAGAATGATTTATAATTTTGGCGCGGTTTCAATTTCCACAAAAAATTAGGTATACATTGTTATGAAAGCGGTGTTACTATTAATACATCGTTTACATTTCGTAAAAATATAAATTTATAGTGTCAATAGAGACGTGTTTGGCTTTTATGTCATAAAAGTGTGGCTGCAATCTTACCAATAATCAAATTAGTAGGTGTTAATTTGAGTGAGAACTGAATTTAGAAATTTAAATTCATATTGTGCTTATCGTCGATTTTATTTCATTGTATGACATTCAAATGACTATAAATTGCGGTTTAAACTTTACTAGGCCATTGCCAAGTGCAACAACTGTGAACACACTGTTAAAAACCATTTTTTCTAATAAAAACGTACCTCATATTAGCGCAAAACTAACCATGTACTTAGAAATTAAATTCTTTGTAGTGTTGTAGTATTATTTGCATTTTGAGGTTAAGCAACATCACGTTTGAATGTTTAGAATATACAAGTTGTTGAGTGAAATTCTTTCTACTGGCGCAAGTTTAAGAACATTTTTTATAAAACCGGTAACCAAAATGTTGATAGACCACTGTTTATAAGCAGCTTTTTAACTTGAAATTTGATTTGCTAAATTCATTTTGTTCTGTTTTTTGTACTAAATCGTTTAAAAATTCGGGTCCAAGTGAGCTCTGATTTGTTCCGCCTCTTTTTGATTGTGTAACTATAATGACAGCGGCAGTTCAAATGTTATAATTATTGGGACTACCAACGTATTAATTACTATGAAGTGGCAAATCTACAGAGTTTGTAAATTTCACAGGTCACTATTAAAAGATTATTTTTGTCAAATAAAAAAAATCAATGATGAACAAATTGATCATTTTATTTTTTAATACAAAAGACGAAATTATAATAGTACCAACACTTAGCAGCAAAATAATCGATTGTAAAATTCCTCGTATTGTCTTCTCAGTTTAAAATGGTTTTTATGACAAGTCCATTGTTTCGAAGTTGATGATGGGAACAATGGAGTAAATCCCTAGCCATAAATAAGATGGTCGGTTTCTTGCGGGGCCGTACTTTGTTATTCAACTCATATTGTCCGTCATGGGGTAATAATGAGGTGATAATGTTTATTATCTTGTCATAAAAGCCACTTTAAACTGGGAGTACAATATAGTGGATATTTTAAATTACTGTGGGCAATATTTTACTTACCCTGAAGATAGCGGTTTTAAGCATAAATTAAAGTTTAACCATTGCATTGCAGAAAATTACATTTTTTAAGAAATTAATAACAACAGAAAAAAAATGTAACTAGAAGTTCTGGAAAAAAGACAAAATTTTTAAGATTTAATTTGAAACATTATAAAAGTGAAGATTATTTTTTGCTTAAATTTAAATTTTCGTGAAAATATGATTCTTGGAAACAAATACCAAAAGTAGTATGTTGCCATAAAACGTTTTGATGATGACATATACAGGGTGAGTCACTAAACGCGCGGTCTTTGATATCTCATAAAAAAAAAAGTTAAAGTTATATGGTTTTTAGTACATAAACAACTTATTTTCGACTACACAGGGTGTTCTATTTTCGCGGCGTAACATAACGGGTGTTCAATTAAAAAGTCATCAAGTTGGCTTTGCTTGTTTAATAGAAGAAAACGTAACCAAAAACACATACTGCTGAGTATAATTGACATTTCCGCGTCATCGTCAGCTGTCATCGATTAAATTTTAGATTAATTGTAGCAAGTAGTACAAAAAATTACGATTAGCACTTTTTTCTACTTTTTTACATCCTAGATTCTATTAGTTTCCACTCCCACTCCATAGGAAAAAATAATTAGCCCCGCCCACCCACCCTGCCTTCATTTTAGTAATTAATTTTAGCCAACAGAAATACAATTAGTCGTTAAAATGAGGAGAGTGGGGGTGTGCGAGGATAGAACTTGCTAAGGAAAAACTGATTTTGGCAAATGACATACCTTCCAAGAAAATAAAGGGTGGGTGGGCGGGGCTAGTATTTGATAAGGTAAGACTGTTTTTGGTAAATAAAATATCTTTTGCCCCTAGACATGAAATAAAATTAGTCGTTAAAATGAGAAGAGGGGGGTGGGCGGGGCTAGGATTTGCTAAGAAAAAACTGATTTTGGCAAATGACGTACCTTCCAAGAAAATAGAGGGTGCGTGGGCGGGGCTAATATTTGATAAGATAAGACTGTTTTGCCAAATGAAATATCTTCCAAGAAAATGGAGGCCGGTTGGCAGGGACTAGCATTTTATAAGATATGACTGATTTTGACACTTGATATTTTCAACCATTTTTCAAAGATTTTCGAAGATTAGCTAGACATTTTTTGTAGATTTCGACATCCAGAAGTCATTTTAGGCTTCTTTTCTTCAAAAATTTCTATCGTTCTGTCAAAATCGCCAATTGAAATACAGCGTGTTATTGAAGGGTACGTACAAAACAAAATTGGCAATTGGTCTCGAAGTATGGGTGCCAAAAGTTAAAAAAAATTCAGGTAAAAGTGTTCTCCTTTTAGAGATAAATATTATTAAAATTTATGTCCAAATTCGTTGTACGCTTCTGATAAAAAGATTATCTTTCGTTTCTATAGCAACATTTAGTCTTGACAAAAGTTTTATTGTTAGAGTTGCTAGGATTTACTAAAATACATTAATTTTACGTATTTATCCTTCAGTAACGTCTAAAAAGGTTGGATAAGGGTTAATTTTCCCCTTATTATTTTGATAACACAAAATAAGTTTTTCAGACTTCTTAGACTTCGCGAAGAACTGTCCATTTTGTTGTACGTACCTTTCAATAACACCCTGTATATCGATTTTTACAGTTTCAGTAGCAAATAGCATAACAAGAAATTTACAATTAGCGCCTTTTTTACTTTTTTCACATCCTAGATTCTATTAGTTTCCACTTCCACTCGATAGGAGAAAATAATTAGCCCCGCCCACCCACCCTGCCTTCATTTCAGTGATTAATTTTGATTGAAATGAATGATCTTATACTGATCAAAAATAAAATTAGTCGTTAAAATGAGAAGAGTGGGTGTGGGCGGGGCTAGGATTTGCTAAGAAAAAACTGATTTTGGCAAATAACGTACCTTCCAAAAAACCAGAGGGCGGGTGGGCGGGGCTAATATTTAATAAGATAAGACTGTTTTTGGGAAATGAAATATCTTCCAAGAAAATGGAGGCCGGTTAGCCGGGACCAGCATTTTATAAGATATCACTAATTTTGACACCTGACATTTTCAACCATTTTTCAACGATTTGCGAAGATTAGCTAGACATTTTGTTGTATATTTCGACATCCAAAAGTCATTTTAGGCTTCTTTTCTTTGAAAATTTCTATCGTTCTGTTAAAATCGCCAGTTGAAATATAATAATTTTCACAGTTCCAGTACCAAATAGTATAAAAATTACGATTAGCACTTTTTTTACTTTTTTCACATCCTAGATATTAGTAGTTTTACTTCCACTCCATAGAAGAACATAATTAGCCCCGCCCACCCACCCTACCTTCATTTCAGTTACTAATTTTGGTTGAAATGAATGATCTTATACTGAACAAAAATAAAATTAGTCATTAAAATGAGAAGAGTGGATGTGGGCGGGGCTAGGATTTGCTAAGAAAAAACTGTTTTTGGCAAATAACGTACCTTCCAAAAAAACAGAGGGCGGGTGGGCGGGGCTAGTACTCGATAAGATAAGACAGTTTTTGGCAAAAACGTGTCTTCCAAGAAAATACAGGACGGGTGGGCGGGCCTAGTATTTCGTAAGATAAGGCTGATTTTGGCACTTCATGCATTTTCGACGATTTTTCAACCATTTTCAAAAATTACCTAAATCCTTTTTCTTGTAGATTTCGACATCTAGAGGTCATTTTCGGTTCCGTTTCTTCGGAAATTTCTATCGTTTTTTCAAGATTGTCAATTGAAATATGGCAATTTTACGATTATTAAAAGATTTCAGTTTCAGTTTGAATTTTCCGGAGATTTTTAATCCGTGACTATGAATACGCTGTATTTCTAGAATCAGCACGTCAAAAACTACATTCCAGAATTTTTTGAAAATTTTTGGATAACTCCAAACGTTCAAAAGGTTTGAAAATTAGACATTTACTTCTAAATTTCGAGATCCAGGAGAAATATAGCAATTTTTACAGTTCCGTGAAAACTTTTGTTGAAAATTACTGTGAAACGAAGTACCACGAAATAGGCAAACTGTTGACTTTTTCAGTCGAACACCCAATATAATTCACTTTTTTTTAAGGAACACGCTATGTATTTTTACATACTCTGATTGATTTCGTTGTAAGCTTTTTTTAATTTTGATGCGATGTTGTCACGTTATTCCATTTTCCTTAAATTTTTTTATCATTGTGGGGGTCCACAAAAAATGTGTGTTATGGTATCAGTTGAATTCAATTTTAATATACCCAGTGTTTATAAAAAGTCCAAAACACTGCAATTTTCAAATACCGATATTTCAGTTTGGAAGTGGAAAAATTCAAAAAACTATTAACTGTAGGTACAGAAAATACTCATCAACAAGAAAGAAAATGAAAAACAAAGGAAAATGCAATAAAAATACAGGAACATATTCTTAAACAGATTTTAAAAATAACCTTATTGTGATATATTTTTAACCATGGCATTGGTAAAAAATTTCAAGAAAATTGGAATATCGTGGCAACGTCGCAGCAAAATTTCAAAAGTAAACCATAGTATTAAAGCCTATGAAGAGATCAATGAAAATACATAGGGTGTTCTATTAAAAAAAAACTAAGTTGTACGTTGTTTCTCAAAAATAGAATATTCTGTATAGTTTTTTACATTTACATTTTTTTTAATAATTACTAAAATATCAAGGTCACACTGTATATTAATTGTCATATGTATACTGTTTCACTAGTTTCATATATCCAAAAAGTCAGAGGACAAATCAAATCTAATCTTTTCCAAAAAAATTATGTAAGTTTTTTACTTCTAATTTTACATAACATTCTGCATTCATTGAATAAAAATTAGTATTTTACACAATTTCAAACAAGTCTGTTAAATAATTGCTAACATAAGCTCCAGTTTTGTATTACGCAATTTTAAAGTGATTTTAATTAAGAATATTTTCAAATGACATCACCATTTAATTGATATGGATGAACGTTTTGTTTTCTTTTTGATAACGATTTTTGAAAATCGTTGAAATTTGAAGTTAGCTTGGCAACCTATTTAAAATTCTATGATGGCATACCTGATGAAAGTGACATTTATGGTCATTGTCCCAACCGTTCAACACGTTTGGTAGGCATGCTCATGTCAAAATAGACAACTGGATGCCAATAATTCAGAATTGCCAAGACAAAAATTTTGTTCAATCATTAATAATAATATAATAAGGCAAGAATAGAAATATTATTTTAAAAAAATGAACACCTTCTATTAACATTATTTTATTTAATTCGTCCATGTACAAAAGAAATTTGAACAATTATAGCAAGTTTGTGTGGTTTTATCCAAAATAATTAAAAAGTACTCGTTATACTAGAGAAGTTATTAGGTCGTGGTGACTACTCAAGCGTATTGGACTTTTTTCAACTTTAATAGACAGAAAAATATGAATTACTGACAGAAACCGGACCCTGACCTGACCTTACTTGATTTTTATACTCCAAAAAGTATAGCCCCTAGAAACACTATGCATTATCTAGGGGCTACACCAAAAAGAAAAGAAAGCAACCCTACTCATAAATTTGCCATACAGTTTATAAATTCCAGTTTCCATAACTAAAAATGACATTCGTACCAATAAACATTGTACACTACTGACACAAAAAATCCCCCAAAAACATCCTACTTACTAGACCTCAACGCATTCCGCTAGATTCGAAAGTAGTACTCTTACATGACATAATACGCAGCGTCTATCTATTACACAAGTGAAAATAAACCGATTATGTGAACGCGGAGCCCAATTTTTCCAGATCCTCCAAGGCGGCGGAGGTCCTGTAACCGTAAACGCCTCCTTGAGCAACGTCACCGTCGTGGGTTTTGGCAAGACCCAGGTGCTTTACAACAGCGTGGATCCCGTTACATACGATTTCCTCACGAAGCTGAGACTCGAAAGGCTGCGAATAGATGGCCTGTACGAGCTTTTAGGCCGCATCTTGGTCATTCCTCTACGGGGGAAAGGAAGCTGTTGGTTCGATGCCAGTGAGTATTTCGGGGCCAATAATTTCGAAAATATTGCACGAATAACAAAAGTTTTATATTTCCGAATAAATATTTATTTGGGCCGGGAACAAAAGCACAGGCGAGCTGCCAATGTGGGTAATAAATCTGTTTATGCACTGCGATAATGTGATAATACTTTATGGCTTCGCGTTATTTGAAAATTTTATGTGTTTTTCAGAAAATCTGGATATTGTGGCCAAAAGTGACGTCACTTTGGAGAAAAGAGAGGGGTTTCATTTCTACAACGTGACGGCGATACATGTGAAGTTCAGCATAGGGGGGCTAAAGCTTCACATGTATAATTTATTCGATGGTATTAAAGCGTTAGGTAAATTTGACACGTCTTGTTGGAAGGATTGAGAGATAATTAGAACGTTTTTAGAGGACTCCACGAACCAATACCTCAACGCCAATTGGAGACCGGTTGCGGACTCTTTAAATCCCATTCTGTCAAAAACCATAGAAGACATAATGATAGGAATTTTAAAAACCGTGTTTGACAATATCCCAGCGGATTACTTTATAGGAGACATCGAAGATTGAAGATCTTGTGATCACTTAGAGGGTTAAATTTAGAAAATCGACACACTTTCCTACGCTGCTGAATATTTCCAGCAACATAAACAAATTTAAACTTAGAACGTCGATGAATCACCGCAGGATCATGCATTTAATAAGTTTTTTACCAAAAAACTCACCCCATTTTTAATACTCTAGTATTATTTATTAGTTACCATAAACAACACGTGCATTTTGTAATAAAAACGTGAAACTATTAAATTTGTGTTTTCTATTATCTGCTGTTCTCGATTTTATCAGAAATGATTTTGCGAAATTCCGCAAGGAATTGTCGACTCACCTGCCACAAAGGTCTGGATGGTCCTGGCATTTTTGGGAAACTGACCACGGGTCTTATCACCTTAACACTGTGAAGATCAGAGGTTTGCAGGTTAACTACGTATATTTTGAACTGGCCGGTTCTTATAGTGTTCCATTTACAGTGGCGTCGCGGAAAGTACGCCCACACTGCCCAATCAAACAAAACTTAGATCCCTTAGTCATCATATTCGTATGTCTGTGACGCTTTTTGTTTTGGTTGGCCTGTCATCTTGTCGGAAATTTCACAATTTTTTTTCGGACGTCCTGTGCACGATCGTAATTCTTAAGAAAATTTCGCTTCTGATTTTAAGCCAACATAACGCACATTTTTTAAGATTTGTGATCTGGCACGTTGCAGTTCGAGAATAACGTATTATTGAAAAAAATCTAGGTGATGTACTTGCTTTATAATTTGTTTAAATGGGTTTTCTTGGATATTTATAACATTTATGGCCAATAGATATTGAGAAAAATTTGGGTCACACAAACAACTAAAGCCAATAGATTGAGGTTGGAAATAGGTTGTTGAACCAAATACTCAAATTTATTTTTTATTCGTTCCTAAATTACGCTAAATTTGTACAACCAATATTTTTCGGTTTCGCATGATTTGGAAATAAATCCAGAAAGCTGCACACTCCTTTTTTTCCTACCAATTTTTGGTAAACCATGTTATTTTCGTCCGTTTTTAAATACCTTAAACAAAAAACGTCTATCTAAATTTATAAATCCGCCCAAAATTGTTTTGTGGTTAGTGTCTTCGGTATTAATCACTAATGTGACATGTATCAAAATAGTAACAAAACGTTATTTTAATGTTGTGACGTGGACTTTTTTTGTTGTAGGTAGATTGTCTATTTTTAAATGGTTTTCAAAGCACAGGCGTGCTTTCTCAAAATCTGTTTATTCACGCACTATTTATAGTTGAAATTGGTATAGACATGAATTAAAATTTAATATCGACGGTGTTATTTCAATGTTAAATGACGTAATCAAAAGATATGTCGTAGTCTTTAGGATTAAAAAAAAATGAGAAAATTTTAGCTTCAGTTGTAAAGGTAAGTACTAATAAGGGATGGACGAGTAGTAAATAAAATTTGACGCTATCTGAAAAACCTGGTCGTCACGGTACAGCAAAGTTTTTGAAACCATGTTTTTAAAAATCAAATTGTGTAATTTTTGTATAGTTTTTTACTTCCCGAGCGTAAGCAAAGGAAGTATTGTAATCGAGTCCGTCGGCCGACTCTCTACTTTTACGTTTTCTCGATCTTTCATGACCCCTAGAAGACGAAGAAATAGGTCTCCCATTTCCGTCTATCTGTCCGTCTGTCCGTCTGTCTGTCTGTCCGTCTGTCTGCCGTCCCGGATTTTTATTAGACAGATAATCTCCGAAAGTACTGAACCGATTGTTGTGAAATTTTGTAGTTACATTAGGAATATCATGTAGATGGTAAAACGCTAACCAAAATTTGTCTAATCATCCCCACATGCGATGACGTCACTTCAAAATTGTACATAGTAAATGGGTCTTAAATTGTATAAAATTACATAGTCCTACACATGTAGTTTATGACTCCGAATTGAGTTTTTACCCGAAATGTCCAGATTTTTGGAAAAAAAATCAAAATTATAAAACAACATTTTGCAATTTAATTTTGAATCTGCTAACCCGAATGCTTTGAAATGTTGCAGATGTTTTAAGGCTATAAAGAGCATCATAAATCTTTAGTCAAAATATATTTGGTTATCCCCTCCAAAAACTTGATGACGTCAGCTCAAAAGTTTGCCAAATAAATCATATCTAAAATATACAAAATATGATGAGTCTGCACTTGTGACCTATCACTCCATTCATATTTTTTGGATTTGCATATACAGGGTGACTCAAAAAAATTAATGAATGCATAAATTTAATTTACTGATTTACTCAGGAACTACAAAACCGAATACTTTAAAATCTTGCAGATGTTTTAAGGTTATAAAGAGCATAATAAATGTTTAGTCAAAATATATTTGCTTATCCCCTCCAAAAAATTGATGACGTCAGCTCGAAAGTTTGCCGAATAAATCCTATCTAAACTGTAAAAATATGATGAGTTTGTACTTGTGATTTATCACTCCATTCATATTTTTTGGATTTGCATATACAGGGTGACTCAAAAAAATTAATGCATGCGTGAATTTATTTTATTGATTTAATCAGGAACTACAAAACCGAATTCTTTGAAATCCACTGCGAAAAAAAAAACATAATAAGCATGCAGTCGTCACGTTTCCGACAGCGAGGGAAGTACTGTCTAAACTCTTTAGACCAATTTTTTTTTTGTAAAATCTGGATATCTTTGGCAAAAAATCTAGACGGATTTTATGAACTACACTTGTAGGAACACGTTATTTTATAAAGTTTAAATAACATTATTTAGAATTTTGAGTTTACGTCATCACATTGTTGGTGGGGATGATTGGATAAAACCTGGTTAGTGTTTTACAACCTACAATTATAAAATTTGACAACAATTTGGTAGTTACAAACAGTCTAATGAAAATCGTCACAGATGGTGGACGGAAACGGGGACCTATTTTTTCATACTCTAGGGGTTATGAAACATCGAGAAAACATGAAAGTTAGTGTAGTTTTAGACAAAAACAATGTAGAAATCAAATTTTTTACGTGTTTAGTGGAAATAAGGTTACATTCCAAATGCTCATCGTATGTGTGTCTAAAAGGTGGCAACTTAAAGTATATTTGTTTATATTTGTCTTAACTTGGTGTTTGGAAGATTTCCATGATATTGTTTAATTGTAAAATACATTGGCATACATTGCTGTTTGCCGTTGACGTTGCCGTTGTAAGATAAATACCAGCGAAGGTATGCGTCATTTACATCATCCGTTGACGTTGGGTTTTCAACCAATTAAATTGGGGTAGTGTGCAGTGCTGCCAACTTGAAGAAAAATCTCCTGAAGTGGGGGAGACATTTTTCTGGTTGATTATAGTTTCCCTTTTTTTCTTAATATACGTAGCCATCTTTTCACAACAAGAAACTTAGAACATTGTTAAAATGGTACATTTTTGCAAGGAAATATGAATTTTGCAATTATGGGGCGGAGCCTAATTGCAAAATCGATATTTCCTTATTCCAATTTTCCATTTTAAATATTATTTAAGTTTCATGTTATGAAAAGAAGTCTACACATATTAAAACAAAAAGGCAAAATGTAAGCCCGCCCACCCGCCCTATCTGAATTGTAATGATTTTTTTTATTCGCCATTAACCAAGGTGGCAGAGTTTAACTGCAAAACACTTATTTCTTTACAAGAAATTAAAAAAATGTCTTTGTTTATCGTGTTGTTTAAAGAATACCATGTATAAGGCAAAATATATACCCCGCCCACCCACCCCATCTCAATTGGGATGATTTTTTAATTCTGAGAAACTCAAAACAATTTTCTGCTCTAAAAGCAACGTCAGCGGGAACTTCAACGTCAACAGCAAGTTTATAAACCCACTTAAAGTGAGCACTTTGGTTACTTTTGTACAAAAAAATGCACAAAGGCTTTATTGATCGGAAGAATTTTGAACATACCTTCAAAAATTTGTTTTTCCTTTCGTATATGCATTTTACACCAGCTACGGATTTAGAAGGTCTTTGGCGCGTGGTGTTTTCATCGAAACATGATGACATGAAACCAGTCAATGCCAATTTTTGAAGCGTTTCGAGAAAAAAGTATCGATATTGTCTCGAATGAGGATAAATTCTCGTTTCCTAGTTTTCGACAAACATACGGTGCGGCCAAAATACTTTATTTTAGCCACTTTTTTTTCCTAGTGTAACTTTCAAATTTGTATTGACTTTTAAATGTCATTGTTAATGGATACCTATTCAATTGAGTCCAGTTTACACAACTAAATTTATTGAAAAAATTGTTTCAAGAGGTGTCCTATTTTATTTTGGCCGCCACTGTATATGTAAAAAATATAACATTCGTAAAACTACCCAGTGACTATTAATATTCGTGATTTTTTTGATAGGTTTATATTTAAAATTTTATGGTGGTACGCCTGATGTTTAATTCAGAACTGCCAACCCAAAAATTCACTTCAATCATTAATAGTCACTCGGTACTCCAACACAATAAAAACAAAAATAGAGTTACGTTCACAGTAATTTGAAAGTAATGAATTTATTAATTAGAACAATGTCAGTTATAGAACAAAAAACAGAATACGTTGTACTTGTAAGGCTTTCATCAATGGTTGATATTAGATTAGTAGGTCCTGGATTTTTAACATCAAACGGAAAATTTCAAATTAAACCTGATAACCTGACAGTAGTACCAACCACAAACAAAATGCATACCAATATACCAAATATGAATGAAAGCCCTGCAGAACCTCCATTTTATTTTATTCACTAAATATTTTTTTTTGTCCAGTAATTAGTAGATACTGGGTGACTATTAATGACTGAAGCAAATTTTTGGGTTGGCAGTTAACATGTTAACATGTCAGTTCACAGTTGTCAATTTTAACATCAGGTATCCCATATCAAATTTTACAATGTTGCCAATCTGATAAAAAAAAATCACAAACATTAATAGTAACTCGGTATTAATTAAATTTAACTTCTTGGCGCGACTAGTATGATATACAGGGTGTCAAACAGAAATTATATAAACTTTTAACTGCACTTAAATTTGATAATACTAATAATAATAATAATAAACTTTATTAGAAGGCTCGCTTACGCTCGGGAAGTATAAACAATAATATAGTTACATTCACAATAATTTAAAAGTAGTGAATTTACTGATTATATTACTTCCCGAGCGTAAGCAAAGGAAGTATTGTAATCGAGTCCGTCGGCCGACTCTCTACTTTTACGTTTTCTCGGCCTTTCATGACCCCTAGCCCTAGAGGACGAAGAAATAGGACTCTCGTTTCCGTCTGTCTGTCCGTCTGTATGTATGTCTGTCCGTCTGTCTGCCGTCCCGGATTTTTATAAGACAGATAATCTCCGAAAGTACTGGACCGATTGTTGGAAAATTTTGTATTTATATTAAGAATATTGTGTAGATGGTAAGACGCTAACCAAAATTTGTCTAATCATCCCCAC